GGATGGGAGGCCTAAGTGGGATGTTCTGAAAGCAGACCTTCTACTTTGAGAAGTCTAAGGGGAAAAGGAACCCTTTGGTTCTGTGCTCACTGACCTGGTGGGTCATTGGGAGAACTATCTGTGCTGGCTTTGCTTAAGGACATGGGGCTGTGGTCTTATTTCTTATACCATTGATCCCCACCAGAAGGGACAATCTGATATATATACCAGCTTCATGGATATCTCTATTTCCCAGAAGGCAGTGGGAATCTGGGGAATCTCCATGAGGCCAATGACCTTGACAATGACTCCTCTTGGTTTCTCTTATAGTCACCCATCCATCTATCCTTCCATTCAATCATCCATTTATCTATCCATCCATCCGTTGATCCACCCATCCATCTATCCCTCCCTCCCTCCATCCATCCTTCCATCCCTCCATCCTCCATCTACACACACATACAATCATTCATATACTCATCAGTTCAACCAACCATCTGTCCACCCATCCATCCACCCACCCATCCATTCATTTATCTATTTACCCATCCTTCCATCCCTCCATCCCCCATCTACTTATACACCCACTTATTCATATACTCATCCATTCAACCAACCATCCATCCCTTCATTTACTCATTTGTCCAACCATCCCTCCATCCTTCCATGTACACACACATCCATTCATTCATATACTCATCAATTTAATCAACCATCTGTCCATCTGTCCGTCCACCCATCCATCCATCCATCCATCTGTCCATCCATCCATCTTTTCATCCATCCATTCAGTTGATTCCAGGAGCCTTGTGATAGGTTCTGGTAGTGCATTGGTAAATAAGGTAGCTACCTCTCTCCTGGAGCCTCCATCTAATTAGAGAGACAGATTAAAACAACTCTCTGTGTGTCATGGGAGGGGGAAGCTATTCTGAGATGAAAACTAAGGGAGCTTTGTCCTCCCAGGGTGCTTTGGTAGAGTCCCTGGGTTGGGTTCTTTGGCCTCCCAACCTAGTGTGACAGAGAAAGCTCCAGAGTCGGAGGACCAAGGTCAGGTCTCGAGTTCCTGGGTGTGTCAGATCTTTGAAGTGTGAGATCGGCTTCGTCCCGTCTCAGAGGATTGCTCTGATGCTCTCGTGGTGCTAATGGATATACTTATCCTTCAAAAGATGTAAAAGGCTTTTGAGATGTATTACCACTAAAGTTATGACTCTGAGCCCCACCAACACGGTCCATTTGAACCTCCAGGGCAAAGCATCTAAATAAGCAGAGAGGCAGCTAAGTAGGAAGTCGTTTTGCAAAACCTCAAGATGACCGGGATTTGAGCTTTGGCTTTGTAGAGTAACGCTGATTTCACAGAGTAATGCTGGTTACAAGGACTCGACTAGTGAATGAACTAATGAGGCGCTCAGAACATTTTCATGCATTAAATTTTTACCCGACATTACCCTACATGTAACAGCTTAGGTTTCTCGACTTTTCTGTACCCCCAGTTTCCTCTGCTACACCACAGGGATCAGAATATTACCTATTTTATAGGGTTGTGCTGAAGTTAAACCAAGATTGACATGCAAATTATTCAGAGCAGTACCTGGCATACAGTCAGTACATAATAGATGCTTTAAATTTATTAGCTAATTAATTTAAGATGCTTTTGCTTGCCTGTGAACAGAACATCCCTGGAAAGATACACAAGGCACAGAGCAGGAGAACAGACTCCTGGGGAGTCTAACACAGACCCGGCCTGCCATATAGTAGGTGTTCAATTAGAAATCTAAAGAAGAGACTCATAGCAAAAATATTTCTCCCTGTGACTCTTTGAGCCTGAGAAATGGTAGATGATGATGTGTGGTCACCATCTAGTCCCCCAAATATTTGTAATTAAAGTCTCCTTTGCTTGAATAAATTCTTCTTGTCCAAGCAGAGCAGGTCTTGCTGTTGCTAACAATTGCCTTCTCTTTCTGTCAGGGTGGTTACATTTTACTGAAGGGCGCTGAGGGGAAGAAATACTAATAGCGGCCACTAGATGGAGCTACAGCTCTGAGCAAGAGGCTCAGAAAGCGCCATGCAGGCGGGTGGAGTAAATCTTGTGTCCTGGACAGACAGACCTCATTCTAGACTGGTCTCTGCCACTTACCTGTATGTGGCTGCCAGCAAACAACCTTAAGGCTCGATAGGCTTAATTACAAAATGGGGATTATCTTAGAGCCCACCTCGGAGAGACACTGTAAACATCAGATGGGAAGACACCGTGAGAACTGGAAGCAGTTCAAACGTGAGTTAATGCAATGCCCAAAAGCCACCCTGCTAGAGCCACTCCTTGGGCACGATTCCAAAGGCACGATAACTTTCATGACCTCCTTGTATTATAGTAGCAAGAGCTGGGGCTCAGGGGTAGCCGGGAACTGTAGGGGATTCACAGCCAAGCTGGACGTGGGGGGTGGGAGGGCTGGGGTAGGGTTGATGGATGCGTAGGTACTAAGATAGGAGGAAGAAGCTCTGCTGTGCTGTCGCATGGTAGGGTGACTCTAGATACCGTTCCACACTGTGTATTCCAGAAATCTAGAAAGAAGGGTTTTGCATTTTTTTTTTGCCAGAAAGTAATAACATTAGAGGAGATAGGTATGTTTTCCCTGATCAGAACATTTTACAATGTGTACATGTATAAAAACATCATGATACCCCTTTCTTCCTCCCTTTCTTTCTTTGGTTCTTTTTTGCGGTCCTGGGGATTGGACTCAGAGGTATTTTACCACAGAGCTACATCCTCAGCGGTTTTTTTTTTTTTTTTTTTCATTTTTTATTTTAGGACCGGTTCTTGCTAAGTTGCTGAGGCTGGCCCGGAACTTGAGATCCTCCTGCCTCAGCCTCCCGAGTTGCTGGGACTACAGGTGTGCGCCACTGTGACCGGCTCTGATTTTTACGTTTTTATGTATCTGTTAAAAATTAAAATACAAGAGCCTGGCCTTGAAGGGTTGTGGGAGTGGCATGTGATAACCCGTGTCAAACGTTGTGTCCGGAACAGGGTGGCCTTTCAGTAAATGTGACTGTGTCCTCAAGGGCCTCTCTCCCTCTCTCCCTTGGCCGCTCCTCTCACTTCTTACCTTAGCCATCTTGAGGGGGTGCTGAGGTCAAGTTTCCTCACCTGTGCAGCCCTCCACCCAGTGGTCCCCCGGGCATCTCCAACTTAATAGGCTTAAAACCTACCTCCTCTTATTCTCTTTATACCTTTCTTTCCTTCCTCTCCTCCTCATCTCCCTCTGTCCTGTGTTTCTAATCTGCAACGTCGTCCAGCAGGACTTGATTGAGTTCCTCCGCTAACAGCTCCCGAGTCTCTCATGCTAGGACTTTGACATTCTCTTCCCTCACCTGGAACATCCTTCCCTCCTCGACCTGCCCAGCCTTCTTCCTCAGAACGACCCCCACTCATCTCCAGGTATCCTCGCTTCCTCTCAAAAGCCTCACACCTCAGGTAGCAGTCAGCACCCCCTTTCCTAGTCTCTGGGGGGTCTCCTTGTACTTTGACACTGTGGAACTGGTTCTGCGATGGTCACCTGACCTTGGAGATAACTGTCCATTTGGCTGAGTCTCCATCTCATATTGAGTGGGAAGTCAAATGTACATTCAAGATTTCTATAAATCTAGTGTGCTCCTGAACAGGACTCTCTCCGACCTTGGCTCCTTCAGTTCCTGCTCTGGGTCCCTCATGCCCTTCCCCAGGGTTAGAACACGCCCCCACCCTTTCCTTTATTTCTTCAAAGCTTCACCCCCAGGAGACACCTAGGTGTGTGGCAGAGATCACTGAAGGTCCAAGTGATGGGGTGGAGGGGTTGGTCCACCCCGTAGTTCTTAGAGATCCTTTGTCAGCCACTCTCAGGGGACCTGGCTGGTGTCTCTCCAGGTCTCAGCTCACTCTTAACGTTGCTTGTTCTCCTCCACTTCTTCTGCATTTTTTTGGGGGGTGGGGATCTCCTTTCTTCCTTACTTCCTCTCACTCAAATGCCTATTTATTACACAGATGTCTACAGTCTCTGAATCTCGCCATCTCCTTATGGACTATCCCAACTCTTTACACAGAAAATAGCTCCTCACAGTGTTCTTTTAGACACGGGGCAGCTCCGTGGGGAGTGTGTAATGTATGTGACCCATCTGCACATTTAGTTGACTTGTCTTTCTCCATGGAAACGCCACGAGAGTGGGATTGTGTCTGCCTTGTTCATTGCTGTGCCTCGAACTCGGTTGGTGCCTACTGGGCTCTTGATAAATGTCCATAATGAACGAGTATGTGACCGAGCAGGTGAGTGGGGGAGCGAGATGTTGCTGGCACTGAGGTGTCTCTCCAGTTCTCCCCACTTGACCATTGTCCAGGGGAGAGGTCGAAGGCCAGACTCGACAAATGCTCTGATAACCGTGACAACTGCAAACCAAGGCCAGTTGTTTGGTTGATTATTTGGCTCTGACATCACTGAGAGAGTTAAAAGGCCTATGGTTCCTGTAACTTATTGAGAAGGTGGGCGAGCACAGACCAAGATGAGAAAGAGGTTAAAAGGCAATGAGCCCTGCTACGTTGTGAGATGAGCTTGAAAATAAGCTTTGTCCTGCAACCAAGACCACCAGAAAATAGATGACTATGCTTATGGCTAAGATTTTCTTGCATACCTTTGCCTTGTTGGGGAATGCTCAGTCCGTCCATCCATCTGTCCATCCACCATTCATCCACTTCATCCATCCACTTATCCATCCATCCATCCATCCATCCATCCCTCCTTCCTTCCATCCATTTATCCATCCATTCATTCAAGATGGTATATATAATGTTGAGAAATACATTCTAATCCCAGTGGTGTGAATTGGGTTCCTACTTAACCAAATTATTGTGAGATTCCAATGATATCCTCTAAGCCAAGCACTATCACGGGGCCTGTTACATAACAGCAGCTCAATAAACGGTCACTATGATTATCATTAGGACCTGAATACTGTACCCAAATCCCACAGCTCCAACGCTTTCCCATTCAGACATCAAAGACCCAGGTCAATTTTATTATCCCAAATTTGTGGACAAGGAATAGGGGGGAAGGAATCTGTAGAAGAAGTAGATAGAATCAGACTGGAGGTTGGGGCCGGGGGCTGGGGTGGGAATCTCACTCTAGAAGGGTGTTGGAGGCCAGTCGTCTGATGATCTTACTGCATCTTAACAAGCACCTGTGAGGGCAGGCAGGAAGCAAGCGCAAAGGTCTAGGGATGTAGGGACATGGCTTGGCCTCAGACACTGGGACTGTTGGTCACTGCAGGCCGAGACTGCGTTAGGGCGTTCTGGGGCCTGAGGGGTAGGTTGACCCGGCTCTGCAGCCAGCTGATGTAGTCTTCTTGAGGCATGTGGACGATGTGTTCTCTCACAAACTGTGGGTCAAATACAGTGGCAACCTCAGAATTTGGTTTGGAAACTAGAACCCACCACCCTCCCCTGCCTCCCCGCTAGGATCCCAGAAGATTTGTCACCAAGACGCATGGCCCCAGGATGCACTTAACTATTCATTCATTCATAATGCCTGGAGCATCGGGCTGGGCCGATCTTTTTGGGAAGAGGGCCCTTCTCTGCAGTCTCCTCGCTCAACAGGATAATTTTAAGCCCCCTTTGTTACTTTTGACCCAAGGAGATTTGAGGAGAGCAGGAAAACCCGGATAACATGCCTCTCCCTTTCTTTTCTACTTCTTCGTATCATTTTAAAAAGTCACTTGCTCTCATGCTATTATATCTATATTTTTTCGGTTCATAGATCTCTTTGAGAATTGGTGACAGTTTGGGGCTTGCTTTTCAGGAAAGGGTTGAAGGCACACAAAATGTAGTGTTTGATGTCGACTCTAGATGCAGAGCCCCCAGATCCGGGTTCTCAGAGGCTGCATGATGCTCGCTCTGGGGAGGAGCATGCCGAGTTTTGTTAGCCAGGGCTCTGGACTCACTTGGATCTCTCTCCCATGCACCCCCCAAGCTGGCAGGCAGAAGGTGGCTCAGGACTGGCAGGTAGGTGGTGGACCGTCACCCTCAAGGTAGTTCCAGCCTTGCCTGCCGGAGTCTTTCAGAGCCTCGCAGGGTATGGGGAGGGGACCCTGGACACCTGACCTTGCCCTTCTACACAGACACACACCCAGGTCATCCGAAGGCAGGGCTGACCCGGGGTGGAGACGCCAAGATTCCCAAAGCCTGTCCAGCTGGAGAAAGTCCCCGTCTGAGTCACTTCTTTATCTGGAGTCACTGAGCGCCTTATGGAAATGCACACAGGCCATCCCATAAAATGAAGGGTGGGCCTTAAACCTCTGTTTGCCCCTCACTCTGGAGTCCTCACGGCTCGTGCCTCTGATGGCGAACAGAGCTCTGGAAACTTCTGATGGTCGAGGACTTTTGAAAGCCACTCAGTGGTTCCTCAGCACCTTGAGACAGAGACCTGAGTCCTCACCCTGACCTTCAGAGGTGGGTGTGGACTGACCTCTCCAGGACCCGTGGAACCATGCCCCTCCTGGACACCTCAGCTATCGCCATGCATGGTCAGGAATTCCTCCAAGTCAAGCTGGGTCCTGTTTGGTGGCCTTTACACAGGGTGTCCCTTCTTCCTGATCTGCTCTTTCCCCTGTCTACATGGTGCTGTCTTCTCATGGTTCAGGTCTCAGCTTAAAAGTCACCTTCTGCTGTCGTCCTGGTTAAGGTAGGTGCCACTAGTTTACTTTAGACCTCAGCTCCTCAGACTTTTTTTGGTATGCGACACCCCCTGCCCCCTGAAATGTGACTTCTGGGATGGTAGCCTGAGATTTTCCCCTTCTCCCCACCACCCAGGGGAAGCCCAGGGACCACACTTGCAGTGGCAGGATTTGGAGTTGCTTCTTACGACGATTGTCCTCCAAGCCTCTAAGGTTCCAGGGGACCCCGCTGATGTAGAATCTAATGTCCCTTGGAGTCGGAGACCAACAACCAAGGTCATGTGGTAATTCTAGGGGACGTAGGCTCCTGGGAGGCAGGGGTCTTCGTGTTTCTTGCTCCCTGTGTCCCCGGCACTTATAATAAACGCCTTCGGGTTGACAGATGGCGGAATGAAGGCAACCACGGCATGGGGGCGGGGGGAGGGGACAGGGGGTTACCTCAATAGCCACAGCCACGTCTGGGGAGCACAGTTCCCAGATTCTCAGCTCCTGTAACACCTTCAGGAGGACGTGGGGCCGGATCCTGAGGTCCAGGTTCTCCCCAAACTTCTGCAGTTTGGCTAGGATCTTCTTGGCGGGGCGGAAGCTCTTCAGATCCTCAGGGAGTTTGGACAACAGGTCAAAGTACCTTCAATTCCAGAGGACAGGGCCCGTTAGGGGGCACCGGGGGGCCGGGGGATCTGGGCCCCGTGGATTCTCCTCCACCACTTCTGTCACTCATGGAGTGTCTCCAGGGCAACGTGAGACTCGGTCTGAGGACCTTTGATCCATCCTAAATGTTAAGGGCCCACGAATCAGGAGGAGTGCTTGTCCTCAGGATTGGGAAAAGCTGGAACGCAACTCGTGTTCCATTAGAAAATGGCTAAGGACATGGTTTCAAGGGATGCATTTGAGTTCAGTTTCTTTCTTTTCTTTTCTTTTTCTTTTTTTTAAAAATCAAGCAGGAAAACTAGAAGACAGGAGGGGGAGATTGGAAATCTGAAGGATTCTGAAGCTGCTCTCCTGAGGGTTAATCAGCCCAGGGTGTGTGGACACATCCAAGGGATGAGTCTCAGGATCGGGAGGTGCTCACCTTGGAGATGATGATGAGCATGAGAGGAAGGGAATGGTAGCTTCCGCCTACCCTGGTCTAACCTACCTCTCTACTCCTCGGGGGAGATGTGGGGAACGGAAACAGAGAGTCACAGACAGACTCACGTCTAGGCATCGCGGTGAGAAATCAATGCCGATCCTGCCCGGTGGGATCCAGCCACCTTTGCTAATGTTGGAAACTTTGGGCATCCTAACCGGGGAGGGAAGTGCCCACCACAGTAAGAGTAAAGTCAGATCAACGGCAACCTGGTGAGCACGGTGCTGAGATAAGTCATTGACTAAGTCTTTCGGGTTAAAATTACCGAGCACCCCTACTGTGAGAAACGCATGCTTCCCATACTCAAAGTCCCTGTGCTCATGGAGATTTCATTCTACACCAGGAGACGTGAATAAATGCCATTATGTGTAGATATGCATCATCCCCCGGGAGCATGAGGCACTGTGGAAGGCCCCAGAACTCTGCTGAGACCTCAGGGACCTGCTTTGTAAGCTCCTGATCTGCAGTATTAAATCAGGGGAGGAATTTGGGGTACATCTTCGGACTTTCTCATCCTACTCTTGGATCTTGGTGGGGTTCACGATATCCCAGTTCACTGGACCCTAATTCTGAATTGCAAATGAGCATACAGACTGGGGCCAGATAAGGGACTTACATCTTAAATTTACCTCTTACTATCAAATTTACTATTAATTTGAGTAAATTAATTGCCCTCTCTGAGTCTCAGTTTCTCTGTCTGTGAAATGGGGTTAGTAGGTACCCTTAAGGATTTGAGGGTAGGAATAAAATAATTCATTAAACCTGAGTAGGGTGGAGCTTTCAGTCTAGTAATCAGTTAATTCATACTGCTTTTTTTTTTTTTTTTTTTTTTTTTTTTTTTTTTTAGGGGAGGGCTGTTGATCTTCCTTCCTTCCTTCTTTCCTTGTGCTGGGGATCTACCCCAGGGCCTTGCACATGCTACGTATGTTCTCTACCACTGAGCTGCATTCCCAGTCTGGTGTGTATTTCCTTTCTTAAACCTTTCATTTTGCTTTTTAATCATCACATAATAATTGGACCTATCTATGGGATACAGTGGGACATTCCAGTACGTGGTGTATACAATGTGTGATGACCCCAAAAGCATATTTAACATATCCATCACCTCACACTGAGAGCACTCAGCCTTCTCTCTCCTAGTTATTTTGAAGTACACAGACCATGTTGACCATGGTGCCCACTGAGGTTCAATAAGACTCCAAAACTCACCATGTTGATTCTGGTTGCTTTTTTTTTTGTCACCGGGATTGAATCAGGAGCACTCGACTCCTGAGCCACATCCCCAGCCCTACTTTGTATTTTATTCAGAGACAGGGTCTCACTGAGTTGCTTAGGGCCTCGCTTTTGCTGCGGCTGGCTTTGAACTCGAGATCCGCCTGCCTCAGCCTCCTGAGCTGCTGGGATAATAGGTGTGCACCACCATACTGGTTTGCTTCTGGTCACTTATCCTCACCCAGCACAGGGGCACAGGGTTCCTAGGACACTCCTACCTGGGTTTGTGTCCTTAAGGTTTTAAATTATTTGGGGACCACCTCATAGACCTCAAAGTCTGTAGACTGGTTTTAGGTTGGGCTGTTTCACCTGCCCCTCCCCTGGGGCTGTCAGAAGGTAAGAGCAGAGAACACAGCAGGTGGTCTTCCCCGTGGTCCAGAAACTGATGGGTTCTGACTCGTGCTCTCTGAAATTAACCTCTTTGGGTGCCACCTTATTGGTGGCCAGTGACAATTTAGGGTGGCGATGCTTTTCTCTGCACCTTGGAAGAGACCGAATGGGCCTTGACCTTGCACTCACAGCCCAGCCCCTCCGACCCTCTCGTCTTGTCCTCGGGAGTTTTACCAGTGGTCTGCAATTTCTTGTGCGTCTCCTTTGACCAAGGAGATCTGATGTCGCATCTTGGACATGTCCTTTTGAAAAGTGGAGGCACGGCCGAAAGAATTGAACTTCTGGAGTCCTCTCTCTTCCTGGTGCCTAGGGGTGTGAGAAAGAGGGAGAAGCGTCAGAGCCTTCCTCCTTTGACGGTCCTACCCGCTTTCGAGATCGACTTACACACCTTTTCCTCCCCGAGGCCTTTCTTTCTTTGGGTCCTCGGGATTGAACTCAGGGGCACTCAACCACTGAGCCCCATCCCCAGCCCTACTTTGTATTTTATTTAGAGACAGGGTCTCACTGAGCTGCTTAGGGCCTCGCTTTTGCGGAGGCTGGCTTTGAACTTCGGGATCCTCCTGCCTCAGCCTCCCGAGCCACTGGGATGACAGGTGGGCGCCACTGCGCCTGGCTGAGGCCTTTCATAACCCTCACTACTCCTCTCTTTAAAAAAAAATTATTTATGCATTCTAGTTATACATAAGGTTGGGGTTCATTTTGACTTAATTCTAAACATGGGATACAATTTGCTCCAATTCAGCACCGGGGGCAGAATCGCAGCTCCGCCTTAGTCTGTGATGAGGCTTTTGCTGCAAAACAGCATGGCTCTCTCCAAGGTCCTGAAATGCCTTTCTTGCTGAACTGGCCTCTTCCTTGGCTCCCGTCCCCTACCTGCTTCTGATTTCTCATCTGTAAAATGGGGCTGAGGGTGGTCCCTAGGACTCAGACGTGAAGATTAAATCACATCTGTAGGGAATTGAGCTTCATGTCTGACTCATTCAACCAACTGATGTTGGTTCATCTCTTTGCCGCTCCCCTTAGCATTTTGTGCCTGTTCTATTTCTCCAAGGTCAATTTGTATTATAAATATAATCGCCTCAATTCTTTGTATACAATGCTCGGTGGCTTCCATTTTACTCAGAATAAGTCGCTTAGAATGACTTGGCTTTCCAAGCTCCAGTTATTCCTCGGCCCCTACAACATTTTCCAGCGTCTTCACCCTCCTTCTCATTCCTTCTCTCCTAGAACTTTATGCTTTGGCTCATGATCAAAGTCTCTGAGCTGGAGTTCAACCTCCATGGGTGGGCTGGTAAAGCCTCTTATGATCTGGCCTCTGTCATGCTCTCTGATCGCCTTGCAAGCATCCCAAGCCCCAGCCACACCTGATTGCTGGCTGTTTCCTGCCTTACTGTGCCCTTCCTGGCTTCTGGGACTTTGCTGTGGCTTTTAATGGGAACTCTATTCCCTGTTCACTTTCCAGTTCGGTGTTTGAATTTTACCTTTACTGTTTAGGCACTTGGGGGATCACCTTTGACAAGAGATATTTCTGATGTCATTTCTATCAGCTATAAAGTGGTCTAATAGGTTGCTATTACAGGCAACCCTTGCCCTGTAGGTTTTTCATGAGGGGCAAACAGTACACAAATACAGACCTCTTAGGCCCACGACTGGCCCATGGTTCTCTGGAATATTCTGACCGGGGCAGTGCCCTGGAATGATCTGTTTTTATTAAACAGAAAATGTTGTTCCCTCCAGAAAGACGGTTCTGATGGCTGTCCCAGATCAGGAAGGGCCTCCCTGTCCTGCGTCCCCTTAGCCCTCTGCCTGGCTGAGCTCCTGGCTCAGCGCCCTGTGCAGCGGCTTCTTATCTATTCATCTGTCTCCCCCCAAGACCAGGAGCTTCCAGAAGGTCACATCCGGGGTCAGCCTTCTCTAAACCCCCGGCCCAGAGCATCGTTTGATCAGTTCTGAACGGACGAGAGAGCACAGGGTCACCTGGCAGCCCTCAGTCCGTGTGACAGAGGGTCATTGCAGGTGGGGGGCGGGGGGCAGGCTAGGAAGGAGGGCAGCTACTGGGCTGCCAGAGAGAGGAGACTGCAGCGGCCCCTGGCATTCTGAAATCAAGTTCCAACGACGGCCTTCCTGGCTCTGCGGGATGCACGGCCCTTGCTGCCCGACTCACCGTATTCAAGCTCCCCAGCCCCTTCTCGGAACCTTGTGAGCACTTTTCCTGCCCCCTGGCCGGATGCCACCCGGGCCTCATCCTGCAGTGGGTCCTCAGAGAGGACTTGCTGGATTACCCAACCTAAGTTAGGTTTCTCTCTCTCCTCCTCCTTCTTCTCACTCTCTCACCCGCTTTATCTCCCTCCTCCCTCCTCTCTCTCTCCCCCCCTCCCCTGACATGGCGCCCAGCTTTCTTCCCATATGGAGTGATTGGAACGTGTTCAGCTCTATTTATAGGCGCAGTTATTTAATTTTCACCCAATTTTTTTCCAGGAGACCATCGACTCCCTGAGAGGAGGGGATGCATGTTTCCGGGACTGGGCTGTGGCCCTTGTACCTGTCCCCTGGTGGGCACACAGGTACCAGACAAATGCCCCTCGAGTTGGCAGGTGGAGCGATGCCCTTACTTCATGAAGATTTCCATCTTGTCCTGCAGGCAGAAGCCGGCCTCCTGGGCCACGCTGTAGAACCTGGCCCTCATGCTGCTGCAGAGCCCGCTTTTGCAGAGGACGATGTCACGGGGGACCCGGCTGTGGGCACACAGAAGAAGGGCTTGGCGGATGGGGCCCAGGGCTCCTGCTGTCCCCTCCCTGCCTCCCCAGGTGTCTGGAGTGGGGATTCCCTGCGCCCACCTGGCTTTCCGCCTTCACCCCGGGCCTCCCTCGGCCTCCCGCTGGGCGTAGGAAGGATTGGGCTCCTCAACAGCATCGAGCTGGTGTTTGGGGACTTATTAAATGAGCCTGAAACTGAGGCAACTGGTCACTAGCTCCCAGACAATGTTAAGGGACTTGAAAAGCTGTGGGATTCAGGCTCAGCCTCCCTAGAAGCCCTTTGTCCTGGGGGATCCCCTGGTCCTTGGGTGCTACCGGTGACTTCAGGGAGTCTGTCTGCTTTGGATCACCCCGGGGAGGGGGGGCAGGAGGGTGTGGCCATCGCAGTCAGTCTGCCCCCCCGCTCATCGGACTCACCCTTTCGCCTTCTTCTGGACTATCTGGGTGTGGCTTTCCCCGCTGGTGGAGCTCGATCTCTCACTGAAACACCAAGGCATGGTTTCAAGTTGCCCCAAGTCTGCTTTTCACAAGAAGGGGGTTCGCCTGGCTCCTGCCAGCCCCCAGGATCCAGGCCAGGGGATGGTTGAGGCTCCAGAACTCCAGGCCTTTGCTCCTGCCCACCCGCTGCCCTGGACGCCCTCGGGGCTCCTTGTCCACCTGCCTCAGTCCTCCCTGGTTTAGGTTCCAGAGCAAGGCCTGAAGGCCTGGACTCTTGGTCCAACCTTGCCCTCTGCTTCTGCATGGTGCCAGGGTGACTCTGCTTTGCAGGCAGACAGGGCTGAGTTCAGAGCCCAGCCCCTCTGTGTCCTCACCCGTGAGGACTGTCCTCACCGCCTGGCCTGCCTATGTGAGCCCCGACGGCACGCCCCCTGCGGCTGACCACCCTGACCCACTTGGGCAGGTTCCCTAGGGGGGATGCCGGGCCCTGCTCAGGCCTGAGCGCCGAGGTCTAGCACCTTCTTTACTCCCCTTCATTTTTTCCATAAACTTGGCCAGCTGCCTCGACCACTCTGTGTGCTTCTAGGCGTTAAGACTGTCTTATTTTTTTTCTGACCTTGCGTTGGAACTTCTTCAGGCCAGCAGACCTGGCTGGCTCTCAGATCCCTCCGCATAGCAAAGGTCCTGGTCTTTACTGATTTTTCCAGGAGCCCATGGGACGGGATCTAGAGGTCTTGGGTCTGGCCGACAGCGGACAAACCCTTACCCCACCTGGACGGGAAGCAGGGCTTCACTAACAATATCCAGAAGGCCTGTGTGCTGGATTCCACTGCCCCCGCCCTGCAGATAGGTCCTTTGGAGAACTATGTTGGCCCTAACCTTCTTCCTGTAGATGGCTCTCTTTCCAAAGCTTTGACAGTGACTCAGAGAGAAGGAGGCAGGTGAGATCAGTGGTGTAGCTAGTTGGTGATAAACAGAGGGAAACAAGACTTGTGTGCCCGTCTCTGTCTCCTCCTTGAGTTTCAGCCACTCTGGTCTTTGCACAGTGCCTTCGAGGTCCTCTGCCTCTGGCCCTTTGCACATGCTATGCCCTTGCTAGAACACCATCCCCAACTCCCACCTCGCAGAGGAGCCAAATCTCTGTTCTTCAGGTCTCTGCTTAAACATTAAGCTCAGTCTTGGTTGGGCCCCTCTCCATCCTGTCTGCTTTTCCTTGGCAACACTTTTGAGTCATGATTTATGGTTAACTATGGGGTTATTCGAGACATGCTCAACGCCCCTATTAAACTACAATTGTTAAGCCTGAACAGAATTTAAGGGGCCCATGAATGCAGGTTTGGGAAAAAAAAACTTCATGTGTATTTTAACTAGCCTTGAACTGAAATGGAAACCACAGGCATTTGTATATCGCATTATAATTGTGGGAAATATTTTGAAGAATCATTTACACTCAACAAGAATCCAAAATCACAGTGGTTATTAGACCTGCTGTTCCATCTTATTATATAATGCGTTGCTAAAGAAGCTCAGAGATTACTATGTGCCAACTTGGGTTGCAATACAGTGATCTATGTTACTACAGAAATCTCAGTGATTCTTTGTAAGTTATAGTATATGTTTATAAATCTGCATCCTAGACATTGTCTGGAAAGGAATGCGCAGGCTTCCTCAGACTATCAAGGATCCATGGCCCCCAAAATGTCCACACAGTAAGATCTAGGAGGACAGAGAACATTTGTTTCGTTTGCTACTGAAGCTTCAATACCTACTCGGTTCCTGGCACCTGGAGAGGATCTTAGAATAGTTCCTAAAGGAATAAAAGAGCTGGGAAGACCTCCACACCCCATCATGAGTCACCCCAGTAAAGAGGGGAGGGTGTCTCACTTAGTTTGAAGTCCTCCAGGTCCATCTTTAGCTGTCTTATCACATCAGGTTGGAAACCTCAAACATGCAGAACAAAATTTACCTTTGGTGAGGGGTACCAGGGACTTGACCACTGAGCCACATCCCCAGCCCTATTTTGTGTTTTATTTAGAGACAGGGTCTCTCTGAATTGTTTATCGCTTCCCTAAGTTGCTGAGGCTGGCTTTGAACTCGTGATCCTCCTGCCTCAGCCTCCCTAGCTGCTGGGATGGCAGGTGTGTGGTGCTGTACCCGGCTACAAAATTTATCTTTGAAAAAGAGGGGTTGGCAACCAATAAATGGGCCAAGAACCTGAATAGACACTTCTCAGAAGACGATATACAATCAAATCAACAAATATATGAAAAAAATGTTCATCATCGCTAGCAATTGGAGAAATGAAAATCAAAACTAAGATTTCATCTCACTCCAGTCCGAATGGCAGCTTTTATGAAGACAAGCTACAATAAGTGTTGGCATGGATGTGGGAAAAAGGTACACTCATACATTGCTGGTGGGACTGCAACTGTTGCAGCCAATCTGGAAAGCAGTGTGGAGATTCTTTGGAAAACTAGGAATGGAACCACCATTTGACCCAGCTATCCCTCTCCTGGTCTATACCAAAGAACAGCATACTACAGGGTCACAGCCACATCAATGTTTATAGCAGCACAATTCACAATAGCTAAACTGTGGAGCCAACCTAGATGCCCTTCAATAGATGAATGGATTAAAAAATGTGGCACATATACACAATGGAATATTACTCAGCAATAAAAGAGAATAAAATCATGACATTTGCAGGTAAATGGGTGGAGTTAGAGAAGATGATACTAAATTAGCCAATCCCAAGAAACCAAATGCTGAATGTTTTCTCTGATATAAGGAGGGTGATGCATAGTGGGGTGGGGAGGGGGAGCATGGGAGGAATAGACGAACTCTAGATAGGGCAGAGGGGTGGGAGGGAAGGGAGGGGGCATGGGGTTAGAAATGATGGTGGAATGTGATGGACATCATTATCCAAAGTACGTGTATGAAGACACGAATGGATGTGAATATACTTTGTGTACAACCAGAGATGTGAAAAATTGTGCTCTACATGGGTAATAAGGACTGTAATGCATTCTGCTGTCGTATATTTTTTAAAAATGTTAAAAAAAAAAAAGATCGGTGGGGTCATCCTGCCCCACACCTTCCTGATTTCAGCTGAAGCTTTAACTTGATGGGATGCAATTGCTGGGGAGAACCACCAAGATACACACCCTGAGCCCCCAATGGAGAGGCTCACTCCCAGTAAGGTCACCAGAAGGAACCCAGGCCCCTCACCACCCCGTGCCCCTTGGCCTGGCAGAGGGGCAGCTCTGCCGTGGCTCCTGTAACCCTGTTGGGGCTGCAGCCTTCCTACCTGGATTTGTGGGTGGCCTGCCCCTCCCTGAAGGCAGAGTCGCTCTTGGTCTGTCTGAGCACCGACAAGAGGCTGCAAAGCAAGAGCGGTCTTTAGTGAGGCCCTGAACACGGAGGCTTCTTGGGCACCCATGGGGGGATGAGGGTCCTTGCAGAGGGGGGACCTTCAGGGCCACCTGCAGAGGAATCACTGCAGAGCCTGCCGACACCCTGGGCCACGTTTCCAGAGATTTGGATCTACTGGCCTGGGGGTGGGCCCCAGAAGCTGCATTTAAAACGATACACACCCCCCCCCTAAAATCTCTCTCTCCCTCTCACACACACACACACACACACACACACACACACGGCCCTGTAGCATTCCCAGCATCCTGTGACAGCGTCCCCTTGACATGCCTGAGGCTGCCTTTGGAGAGTCTGGGACACCAAGGTCTAGACATTTGTGTTTTCCCACAAACTCCCCCAAAATGACTCTGCTCTCCAGACATATTTGGGAAACACCGTTAGAAAATTTGAAAGAAACACTGTCTTCTTCCATGTCTGGGGGACAGTCCAGCCTTGAAGCCACAGGCTGCTCAAGGCTGGCTTTTGGGGTCCCTCAAAACCCCAGGATTCTCTGTCAACCTTGATGGGAGCAGATTTGGTGCATGAAGCAAGAAAGAAAGAAATCGAGATTCCAAAGGGATGGGACGGAGAACGGTGGCTTCCTTGCCGGCCCCCCTCGGCTCTGTGCTGGAGACTCAATCTCCGCTGTCGGGCGGGAGGGGTTTTCCCCTCGGAGGAATTAACGAGGAAGGGGAATTTCAACAGGTGCTTGCTCCGTAACCATGGTTATTTTATCATTAAACTGAATGTAGAGGCCACGTGATGGGTCCCCTGAGAACCAGGCTCGAGTGCGATTTTGTCCTTGTGGATCTTTAGGAAGTCACTTGTGGCTGTTCCTCTCCATCAGTGAGATGGGGCGTTGGTGACAGCTAAGGGACCTGACTCAACAAGGTGCAGCAAAGACTCCACAGAGCACGAGGTAGGAAATACAAGTAACATCCATCCCTCCTCCCCTACCAGTTGTCGTTTACTGAGCGCTTCCTATCTGCCAGGTCTAAGCTTATACGTTAAATAAAATGCACGAGCTCACTCTTTGCTTTGAGTGACTCACAGGAGCAGACACTATTTACATAGCATTCATAATACTTTACAAGAATAATGTCATTCTCACCCCAGCCCTTTGGGATCAGTTGCTAAAGAGCTTCCTTTGACAGAATTGCAATCCGATCTGAGAGGTAAAGCAGCTTGCCCAACATCACACAGCAAGGAAATGGTGGCGGGGAGAGTGTCCCTAGAATATTTGGTTCTAAAGTCAATGCTTCCATGCTCTATGATCTCATTTTATAGATGAGGAGTTGGAAGGTTTAGGAAAAGCCTAAGTGACATGTCTAAAGGCCACCAGTGTTCGGATTCTTATCAGCCTAGCTCGGAGCCCCTGAGCTGCTGTTCACTGTTACTGTCTGTCTCTGTTGCTGGCCAAACAGGGACAGCAGCAGCGGGGCCTTATGGGCCGACTTGGGCTCTGAGTGCCTCTAAGGCCACCTTCCGGAGTCCCCAGTGCGGGTTCAGGCTGCGGCAGACAGATTCATCATTGGCAGCAGAGGCGGGGCGGGCTGGTGCGAGCGCTGGGTGAGCTGTAATTATGGTAATAACAATAACCAATAAGCCATCGCCGGCATCCCAGCAGGCTGAAGGCGATGATGAGCCTCTTCTCCTGCCTCATCTGTTCTCAGGAAGTAATTTGCTCTCGCAGAGGGATCTGCTCTTGAGCAGGGACTCTGACTCCCGCCTGCCTCCTCCTGGAGGAGTTTAGAGGTCAGAGGTCCCAGGGAGCCGCTTTCCACCCGAGGGACACCACCTCAGGCTCGAGCCTGGTGTATGAGCCACTTCACCCTTCAAAGGATCCCCGTTGCTCTTGGGATAAGATCAGAGTCCTTGGGATGAGGGCACCCAAGATGGAACCCAGGGCCTCACCTGTGCCAGACGCGTGCTCCACCACCGAGCCACACCCCTGGCCCTTTCTATCTTTTCTTTTGAGACGGGGCCTCTTTATGTTTCCCAGAGTGGCCTTGAACTTGCAATCCTTCCTGCCTCAGAGCAGCTGGGGTTACAGGTGGCTCATACCCTGGACACTTCTCATGCTAATGACGAGTGCATGGACTTTGCATACTCATGAATATTCATAAGAAGAGTGGACATAAGGCCACAGGATTCCCAACAGGCAGAGCAGGGACCAGGGTGGTGTTTGAGTCGTGACCTGACCGTGCACTGGCTGTGGGACCTGGAACATGTCACTTAGCCTGTCTGAGCCTGTTTCCTTATTTGCAAAATAAAGACAGGGGCACCTCCCTGGGAGGGTGGTTGTGAGGATTCAGGGAGGCGAGCCCCGGGGACCAAGTTCAGAGCTGAGCCGATGCCCGAGAACCGGCAGCTGCCGTCCATGTCATTACTGCTGGGCTGACCCTGCCCCAGGAGGCAGGAGCACGTACCTGGGAGCTTTCCTCTGCATCTCGTTCTGCATCATGACGGTCCTCCGGGCGTCTTCTCGAACCATCTCCAGGAGCTTTTGCAAATCTGATGGGAACATGAGAGGTGACCTTTGGATGGGGGGGGACCCTGGAGACACAAGTGTGCATGGTGGGGCCCAGTCCCCAGAGAGCTGGAGAGATCCCACTGGGGTCCAGGAGAGGTGGCAGGGGCCTGACCACGTGGCCTCCCCCTGGCTTAAACCCATCAGTGCCCCTCCATTTTCCTTCCAGCACCATGACTCCAGAGAGCCCCGGAGGCCTTGGGGGATCCGGCTTGCTCTTTATCTCCTCCGCTCACCTTGAACTCTACTGCAACCCAGAGAACTGTTTCTAATCCTGAGAACAAACCCTCTCCCATCTCCTTAGGCCTCCATTTTCCAAACTGGTGATTCACAGGCTCAACCCTGCTCACAAATGCATTTAATCTGATTGGAGAGGCAGGCAAACCTTTTAAAACCAGCAGGCTTCCCGGGAAAATCCAGACCTGCAGCTTCCCTGGGAGACACCCCCGAGTGGGGCCGTGTTGCCCTCCTTCCTGCCCATGTTACTGTGGCCTTAGACAGGCGTGTGTCCTTCAGCTCCCCGGGGCTCCCCCGACTCCTCACCGTGGAACCCGACTTTCATTTCCATGCTTAATATTGTTGACCTTTACGGGTGCAGAGGTATTTCTTCACACCCGACATTTGTGGCTTGAGTTGTGACTCACAAAAGACATGGTTAGTCCCAATCCCTGGTACGTCTGAGAGTGACTTTATTTTGAAATAGAGCTACTATAGTTCTAATGAGGAGTATGGTGGACACTTTATCCAATAAAACGAATGTCTTCATAATAAAAGGAGGGGGACAAGCTCGGAGGGAAGATGGCCAGATGGGCACTCAATGATGGGCAGAGATCCGAGTGATGCAGCTACAAGCCAAGGACTCCCGGCAACCACCAGAAGGCAGACGAGGCGAGGGGACCCCCCTGTATGTTTCAGAGGACGCATGGCCCTTCTGCTGGACGTCCATCCACCATGGCTTTGAGGCAATACATTCTGTCATCTCAGGCACCAGGCTGTGGTGTTTGTGGTGACAACCCAGAGACAGATCCCCTGATGTTTGCAAAAGTTAAAAAGGGAAATGTGGATCAAGTCAGCGATGTCTTTTGCAAAAAATGGAAATGGGGGAGTGAATCGTGTATTACATGGATGCACATTTTGCAAACTCATGACCCCTCCCCGGAGTGGGACCTGCAGGATGCAGAAGCCTTGGGCTTGGGGGCTTCCTTGTCCTCTGGGTGGCAGCTGTCCTCGGTGCTGAAACACCCCAGCGTGTGAGGCTGCTCTTTGGTGGTAGCCTCTTCCTGAATGTCTCTCCAGATTTATGGACAAGGAGAGGGAAGAGGGGCTTGGAATGAGGGGGTCCTTTTTTATATTTTATTTAGAGACAGGGACTCACTGAGTTGCTTAGGACCTAAGTTGCTGAGGCTGGCTTTGAACTCACCATCCTCCTGCCTCAGCCTCCCTCAGCTGCTGGGATTGTGGGCGTGAGCCATGGCACCGGGAGGTGATTCCATTTCCCCTGGATCTGACCTTGGTTTTTGTCTTGTCTGTTCCCACCACACCCTGGAATCCTCAGGGTGTGTCCATTAGTGAGGGGCATCACCTCCTTTCTTCCCTTCTCTTGGGGACCCAGCAGCAAAAACTGCCTGCTCCCCTTCCCTCCGCCCTAGCCATAAGCAACAAAGCCTCGGGTGGGTGGATACAGTAAATGACCCGGTGACCTGGCACACAGGACACGCTCTTAGAGGATCACATGCTAAGCTCCAAGCTCAATGCACTCGGGGGTTTTCCTGCCCCCTGAACATCTCTGGTGCCGATCAAATGAAGCCCCCTGTGTTTGTAGCCCTGGATGGAAACGGAGAGACAGAGCAGATCCCGGGACTCCTCAAGGCTGCCCAGGAGAGGGCTGGTTTGCAAGGGTGCAGATGCTTCAAAGTGGCGCTTCCCCGAGGGGGGAAGGGGGTCCTGGGGTGGATGTTTGCACACAGAGAAACCTACTGGCTGCTCCGTTCCCAGGCTGTGGGGATGCCGTGACCCGTGGCTCCCAGGCAATGCCATTCAGCATGCTCCAGTCATCCGCTCAGAGAAGAGGAATTCGTCCTCCCTTTTCCAGCCTAAGAATCACACCCTGGAGTTACTAAGTCCCTTTCTATTTTCTTTTTTGGTACTGGGAATTGAACCCAGGGGCACTCACCCACTGAGCCACATCCCCAGCCCTTTTTATATTTTATTGAGAGACAGGGTCTCACTGAGTTGCTGAGGCTGGCTTTGAACTCGTGATCCTCCTGCCTCAGCCTCCTGAGTCATGGGATGACAGGCAAAGGGAAAATAAGGGAGGTCTTTTTACTACGTGGCCTGACTCAAAGCAGAACCTTAGATAACAGAGGACCCACATTTCGAGTTGCTATTTTAAGTGAGGAGTTTCTCCCCTGCTTTCCAGGCCGGCAGGAGCAATGGCCTGGGCTTTGGTTTCCTGGAAATTGCCCTGCCATTGATTTGGGGAAGGGATCAGTCCGTGGAGAGGCCACCACCCTCTGTCTCAGTGATTTGCATCCACCAAGACTTCATTATGCAGCTGGCCCCGGAAATGAGACCTTGGCCAAATGGTGCGTCTCTCAGAAGAGAATTCATGAATGCAGAATCAACTGGAGGAGGTTTGGGAAGGCAACGAGAGGCTGGGAAATTAATCTACTTCTATCAAAGGCTGTGACAAACAGGGGGGGGGGGTTAAGATGTAAGTGGAGAGAGGAGAGGAGGGTGAAGTAAGAAGAACTTTCCCTCCTAGAAGTAGGTCCCTGACGGAAAGGCGTTTCTCAGCCCTTCTGCACCCACTGTGTCCCAGGCTGGAGGTCAATAAGATATCTGTGCCTTCAGGGATCTCACCCTCCTTCCCTCTTTATTCCTTAGTAATAGTACTATGGTGACAAGACACATTTACTAGCATATTTTTTTTTTCCTAATCATCTGCAATTGGGTGTGGCCCTATGACTAAGTTTTGCACAGTGAGACTTTAGTAGAAGGGTAGCATAGAGCTTCTGAAAAGGCTGCTCGAACAATATTTTGTCTACTTCCTTTTGCTTCAAGCCTAGAAAGGAGGGTGTGATGGCTGGAGTTCTAGCAGCCATTTTGGATCACGAAGTGATATTGAAGGTGGCAGAGTAGAAAGACGCAAGAAAGTAGGATTCCCTGATGAGCCTTTGGAAGTCACCTTCCCAGCCCTGGACTGGTCTTCTCTAATTGGTAAGAAAAATAGCCATCCTCAGGTCTTTTTATCAGCCAAAAGAAGTCCCTGTCTGATTCAGTGAGATGCAGTTATAAATTAAGTTCCCAATAAGAAGCCAAGACGAAAATACTGAGCGACTTGAAAAGAGGGAGCACAGGGGGGCAAGGAAGGCTTCGCAGAGTCAGGGTGAAAGGGAATCCTAAGTAGAGGAAGTCGCCCAAGCACGCGGGCCGTTTTAGAAGAGGAAAGTGTCTTGGTGAGGTTGGACCGACCCGTTTAAGGTGTGAAGAGCTGAGCTCATCCTAGGTCTGGGGCTTCTTGGGTCATGTGACAATGCTGGCTCTGCTGTGTCAGTGTGGCTCTGGCTCCACACGGAGAAGCATTAGGAAGGACAAGAAGCAGGGAGACTAGTTAGGAAGGTGTCACCACCCTGGAGGTGCCAGGAGATAAGTCTGGACCAGGGGTCCCAACCTCAGGTGGCTTCAGGGATCAGCAATAAAAAAAAAAAATGAAAGATGCATGTTATGTAAGAAAAGCCGGGCTGCTTTGGACTTTGTTCTATTTCTTACCTTTTTTTTTCTTAGAAACTTGGGGAAAGCACAGAGATTATGTGGGACGTGGGGCCAGATTTCCTGAGTTCAAACTCAGGAGGGATCCTTGGTGGCCTCCCTGGTGCCTGGAGAGGAGGCTCCACCTGCAAAGCCTCCTGCCTCCTCCAGTGTCCTGCCTTCAGCGCTCAAGCTGCGCCCACGAGGAACATGTGCAAGTTCTGAACCGTGGCCTGAAGCTGGGGCGCTTCTCTGCCCTTCCTAGTTAAGAGCAGAACTTCTAGTGTTAGAGACACAAGGGCCCCGACGGGACACCGACGGCCACACAGACACCTTGACGGGCAATCCAGGTCCCCTTCCTCCTTCCTCCTAGTCGCCTAGAGACTTCCTATTGTATTGGAAATAATTCTGAAGTCTTGGTGCTACTGACGCCCTGTACACTCTGGCCAGAGCTGAGCCAAGCCTTTCTTGACCTCCTGGCAAAATGAACCTCACTCCAACCGGCTCCGTTTCAACACCTACTTGTTTTATCACCTTCTGAGCCCTCGTTATCTGACACTGCCTGGCTGTTTGTGATTTCTTGTTTATTATCTGTAAAACGTGCTGTAACTTCAAAAACGCACCACACCTCAGTTCCCTGCACCTAGTAGGTGCTCAGGAAAGAAGGTTCGAGACCCACCAAGGATCACCCATCCGGGGAAGGCTTGGCTGGGCTTCTCCCCAGCTCAGCTAATAACTTGTGTGCAGAGAACAGCTTTCCAGGTCTCAGAGCCTTTTGGTAGCCCCCTGGTGACAAGGGGTAGGTGGCGGGATGGTTCTGACGGGCAGTTATGACTCTGAGCCTGCCCACTGCCCACTTCCTGCTCTGACCCCTCAGGGCTCTGTACAGACTCTTGGCCTCCCTGGACCTCCTTACCAACCTCCGCGAGGCCAGGCGTTGCAGAGGTGAAGGGGGACAGGCCTAGCAGGGCTCAGCGTGGACCCCACTAAGGGGACAGGCAGGGGGCTGTCCTGTGCAGCCGAGTCAATAATTTTGCAGAAGCCGGTCCTCCTTCCTATCCTGCCTTCCAGTCACAATTCTGTCTGGCTGAGGTCTGAGGCTCCCCACCCACAAATGGTGTGAAAAATGGTGTGTGTGTGTGTGTGTGTGTGTGTGTGTGTTTGAATTTTCTTCTTGAGCCCAAAGCTTTCAGCGGGTTTTCCAACGTGCCTGTGTCCCCTCGTTTGTGACCAACGCTGAAAAGTCTTGTTCCAACGGGAGGGAAATCTCTCAGAAGGCAAATCTGTTGGGCCAGACAGTAAATGTGTGGCTCCCTGGTGGCTGGGGGCGGGGGGCGCTAATGGCCACACGGTTAAGGTTTGCTTCTGGGTTGATGGAAATGTTGTAAAATCAGATTCTGGGGATGGCTATACAACTCAGCAAACTTCCTAAAGTCATGAGAAGGCCCATTTAAAAGGAGTGGATTTTATGATATTGAAAAGATTCCTCGAGGAAGGCATTTTAAAAAGCAGGTGCCAAGTTTGGAACACTTAGCCAGGAAAATAATACAAAATATCTCATTAAAATTTTTTATGTTGATGACATGTTGAGATGACAGTGTTCTGTAGACAACGGGCTACACAAAATACACTTTTTTTTTGGTACCAGGGATTGAACTCAGGGGCACTTGACCCCTGGGCCACACCCCCAGCCCTATTTTGCATTTTCTTTAGAGACAGAGTCTCACTGAGTTGCTTAGGGCCTCTCTTTTGCTGAGGCTGGCTTTGAACTCGCGATCCTCCTGCCTCAGCCTCCTGAGCCTCTGGGGTGACAGGTGTGTGCTTGGCTGAACTAAACTTTTTAAATTCAAAAGGTACAATGAGGAGCTGGGATGTCTCCTTAGCAGGATGCTGGGAGTCACTTCACCCACTGGGGGAAAGGAAAGGGGCCCAAAGGAGCCACATGGGGCTGGGGAACCCCTGTGCCTGTGCTGACTGAGGGGAGGTGGAGCCGGTGCACTCCTAAGGACATGGTCACATTGTGGCGGGTGGTGGGATCTTGGGTGGGACTTACTGATGTGCAGGGGCTCCTCATCGGGCTTGGTAGAAGAGGACTCGTTGTCCTCGACGTCTTTGCTGCCGGTCACCTGGGTGGCCACGCTCGGGTGCTCGTCGGAGCCGGGGTTCATGGAGATCATGCTGCTCTGCGGGGAGGACGCGCTGCTGGTGCGGGACAGGCTGATGGTGGAGCCCCGGCGGCTCAGCCTGCGGCTCACGGCCCTGATGACGGGGATTTTGAATTTCTTGGTCTGAAGGGAGGAGAGAAGGAGGTGAGTTCAGAGAGGGAGAGGGAAGAAGAAAGGAGGGACAGGAGGAAGGACACCCGCCTGCACCCTGGGCCTCTTCTGAACCCCGGGAGACATTCGCTGGATCTGGAGGGACCTCGGGTCACAAATCAGGATAATTTTTAAAAAAAGCAACTGAAGCAAATGTGACATAATCTGTGCTATTGAACGAGGTCCCCACGGTCCCCGTCTTCACCCCAGGAAGGCTGCTGTGGATTCCCAGGCTGTTGCCAAGGCCCAGAACAGGGTGGTTTTTTGTTTGGTTTGATTTTTGGTTTTGGTACCAGGGATTGAACCCAAGGGTGCTTAACCACCGAGCCCCATCCCCAGCCCTTTTTATTTTATAATTTTGACACAGGGCCACACATAGCTGCCGAGGCTGAGGCTGGCTCTGAACTCGTGATCCTCCCGCCTCAGCCTCCCAAGCCGCTGGGATGACAGGCGTGTACCACCCGCTACCGGCCCAGGAGAGTTTTCAACTTTTCTTTTGTCATAACTGTTGGAGTTGACTTTCAAACCGTAAAGGAAGGTAGGTCCAACGTCTTTAGCTGCATCTTGGTTTTGGCCTCCAACGGCCTCCAACTTGATCACCAGGTCGATGCCCGGAAGGGAACCCGAGGGTGAAGATTTGTGTTCAGGGGTGTTTTCCAAAGAAGCTAAGAACTTTCTGGGCCTGGTGTTTAGGAGGTGGAGCGGGGGAGGCAGGTATGTCTGGTGGGTGGTGTTCTTGGGGGAGAAAAGCCGTGGGGGGTGGGAAGGCCTTGAAGGGATCAAGAGGCAGACAGAGAAGCTTGTGAGGGGAAGGGAAGGAGTCAGAGAGAACGGGTTACAGGTGTGTGTGCACATGTGTGTGTGTGCATGAGTACCCTCCTACATTATTGGAGTCCCTCCAAAAAGTACTCTCTGAGGTCATGTCCTCTTGACACGCATGATCCAAGTTTCAGAGAGTCTTCTTAACTTTCCCAAGGTCACACAGCTAGGCAAGCAGCAGAGCCAGGGTTCAAACACAGGTGAGGGTATCACCAAAGCTGGTTACTTAAAAATACATTGAAAGGCCTTTTCGGTGGCATTGAAAGTGCCCTTGATCCCACAGTGAGGATTCTTTATGGCATTTAAAATGCCAGGTGGTGTACGCCTACAGTCCCAGGGACTTGGGAGGCTGAAGTAGGAGGCTCACATGTTCAAGGTCAGCCTCAGCAATTGATAGAGACTCTGTCTCAAAATAAATGGCTGGAGATGTGGCTCAGGGGTAAAACGCCCCTGGGTTCAACCCCTAGTTCACCAAACCAACAAAAAAGTAGTCTCCTTGGTTTTGGGTGGGGAAGAGTAGGCCCTCTACAACTCCAGAGGAAAATCTCACAACAGGTGTGGGGTGACAATTTACACCCAATTGATAAAGATGATTTTATTTGAGAATATTTTAAATGAAAGCTGTGTGTGTGTGTGTGGGGGGGGAGGTGTCAGACATATGACTTCTTTAGAGGAAACACAAAGTTGCCCAGGAAAGAAGATAGGAAGGAGAGAGGGGGCAGAAGAGCACACCTCAATTTAATATGTAGTTAAAATACACAGAATAGGGTGGAGAGAACTGTATCCAGCAGGTTCATTTCAGGAGTCCATGACATGTGATCAGAAGGCACACACACACACAGAGTTGTGCTGGGGATCGAACCCAGGGGCGCTTGGCCACTGAGCCCCATCCCCAGTCCTTTTCATTTTTTATTTGGACGTGGGGTCTCGCTTAGTTGCTGAGACTGGCCTCGAACTTGTGATTCTCCTGCCTCGGCCTCCTGAATCTCTGGGGTCAGGGAGTGTGCCCCCTCACTCCCAGGAGGAGCCGTATTTTGATTGGCTGTCTCACGGGGCCCTGAATGTGGGTGGAACTTCCCTGCAGTAGGAGAGGGGAGGGATTTCTTGGTTGTACAGAGGAAGGGGAAGGTGGGGGAAAGGGAGAAGAAGGTGGGGGGAAGGCTATCGTGTGAGCTCTTCCTGGGCGTGGCTCTTCAGTGACATTCTACCCAAATGGCAGCATGTTAGAGAATGTGACAGACTGGGGTGGGGTGGGGATTGGAGTTTGAACTGGGCTTAGCCAGACCTCCAAGGTGTTGCAAAGCGCCTGTGATAAAAGTCAAAGCAGATACCAAGAGCTGGCGTGTTCTCTCCTTTGATTAATCAGGGGCTGGGAACAAGGCTCCCTCTCTCCTGACTGACAGCCCCTCTCCTGCCTGCCCCCAGGGGAGATGATGTCAGAGCTCAGCGGTGGTCCACACACAGGTCGCCTCTGTTCTCTCTGCCACAGTACAGATTCCTGGGGCTGGAAACCGAGGACTTTCTGGAGGGACTCCAATGTCAGATTTGGAGCCTGGACAGACAGACGGCCATGGAGGGCATCTTGGAATCTTGCAGTGAGCCCTGAACTCAGAGCCAAAGGCACTTACAAAACACTCAGAGGTGGAACTGGGAGGACCTCAGGAGGGCCTTCCCTAGCCACAGTTTTGTGTGCATCTTCTCCCAGCTAGGATTTCATCTTGTGCTCCTCAAAGTTGCCAGTAATTAAAATTCAATTAACCACCCCAGCCAGGAAAGTCCAAAGTGAAGGGCTGACACTTCTGATTCATTGAGAGTGGTGGAAAAATAAAAATGTGGGGTGGGGTGGGGGGGAGATGTGACAGGCAGCTTCAGCATCTTGCTTGCCCTTTATTGAACGGACTTCCCCTGAGTTGACTTCAATCCCCAAATGCTTCTCTATTTTTTTTTCTATTTCACTCAGGGGCAATAGTAACCACATCAGTAGGGACTGACTTTTTGGTAGCAGAATCCCTGAATGGTTCCTTAGACTTTCTAAGAAGCAGGGGTTGCAAACTGTGGCTCCCAGGGAGACATATTTAATCAGCCTGGATTTTATATATTAGGAGATTTTTACATAAAAAACCCATTTTTTTTTCTCTCTTGGAAAAGACAAGGCCTGAGTTTTTATTCTCATGTGACAAAATGAGCTGGCGCTGAGCAGAGGGGCTTTTCTTTAGCTTTCTTGGCTAAAGAGAATCCACAGACCTCACCCCTCCCTACTGTATCCCACCCGGGCTGATTCTTCCATCTGCAGAATTTTCTGGGCCCTTTGGAACACAGCTAGGGCCCTGTCAAGGTCTTCACGGTTCCAGAAAGATATCAAGGGCCGTGGGATTTCCAAATGCTCCATCCTTTATTGGCAGAGAAACTGAGATCAGGAGAGGGGACGAGGTCACATAGTGAATGGAGTCACCGTGACTGAACTAGGCATCCTTCATGCCGTTCAGTGCTCTCACGCCCCCAGAGTGGACCACACTACTGTCCAGGGTGGGACCCCACACAGGCTTGCTGGGAAATTTAATTTTGAAAGAGTTCGGCTCCTGCAATTCACTCCCCACTCCTCCAGTTCTAGTCGTGAATATTCCTGAAGGACATTTGTCAGGGTTTGCAGCTCCTGCTGCTCTGTCTGTGCATCTCTGGAGACGGATGTGCACAATATCTCCATAGCAACTTTCTGAGATAGAGACAAAGGCTCTTGCTTCTCAGATCTAGGAGCGGTCTGACAGAAAGAGCAGGAAAATGGTGCAAATGGTCTGTGGAGGGGAACGTGCAGTGGAAGAGCTCAAGGTTTAATAAATAGACAGACCCAAGATGAACTCCTGCCTCTGCCACCACCCAGCTGTGTGACCTCATGCAAGTTACTTAACCTCTCTGAACTCCAACTTCCTCCTCTCCCACCAGAGGATAAGAATAGTGTCCCGTGGGGTTATTAAGAAGGCAGAGTTGGATAATTCAAGTAAAGGACTTCCTTCGCATAGAACTGGCCTCCTTATGAGTACATTGATGGAAAATCGGTTTCTAAAAATTGCTAAGCAGGCTCAGCCTTTCCGCAGTTTCAAAGTGAGTTTGCAGATGGCGTCTTTATGTTCCTCACTACGACTGTGAGGTAGGCAGGGACCAGCTCTATGTCCATTTTGTGGGTGAGGGACAGACAGGCTCGGCCAACACTAGAGTCTTCACTTCCTGAAATATCACCTCCTGCTTCGGGGTGTGTTGGGAGGCTTGTTTATTTAGTAGAGGAACCAACCGGGAGTTTTGGGGTGAGGAGTAGCTTGGGGTTGAGATATTTTCTTAACAGTGAGCACACATTCTAATTTGTAGGGAATCTTGTCTGTCGGAGCACTCAGCAGAGAGAGAGAGAGAGAGAGAGAGAGAGAGAGAGAGAGGGAGAGAGAGAGGGAGGAGGGTTATTGATTTAGGAGGTGGAGTGAGATGAGTCCATTTCCTTCTGGTGACATCTTATTGAACAGCCGCTCAGCACCCCCTCTCAAGCAGCGTCCAGCCCAATGTCATTTTTCCTATAATCCCCAGATAACCATTTTAATTAAAATTTATAAGAACCATCCAACAGCCTGTGGTCTCTGACTTCCCTTCACTTCAAAAGCCAACAAGAAAAAAAAAAAAGTTTGCATTAGAGGGAAGACGGGCAAAATCCGTCCCTGCCCAGGCGGGGGCTGGCTGGTTACCTTTGGTGTGGCCACGAAGTGCTCCCACCTCTGGGCCATGGACCTGTCCTTGTTGATTTTTTTTATCGAGCTCTTGCTTCCCCCGGGGTCCCTGAGTGAGAAACAGCTTAATGAGTTCTCCGTTTGCACAGACTTTGTTTATTACAAGTTTTCTTTTCTTTTTTTTTAAGAACCAGGGGATGGATGGCGGCTGGTCTCGGATAAGATCCCCACCCCCACACCTGCCCTGATGCTCTGCAGCTGAGTCTTTGCAACCTCGAGGCCAGGTGGGACCACTGCCCGCTGGCCCGGGCTGAAGGAGGCGGGCTGTCTTTGTGCGGGTCTCACAGCTGTGTGCTCTGGGACTCCAGGACAAGTCTCAGATTGCTCAGATGAATTGGGAAGTTCCTTTGTGAATGTTTTGCATGTTCTAGGACTTCAGGGTCCCTGCATCAGGGGCACTTTGGAGCAACACAGAGAATATCAGCCGATGAGGTTGGGGTAGCCGGGGGAGGGGTTTGCACAGTGACAATCACTGGTTAAGACTTATTGAAGCCCAAGTTCTGTTGGAGGCTATTTTCAAGATGTTTCTGTGTCCTTGCAGAATCTCCTCAGTCGCTGAGATCCTGTGATGCTGTCATGATGGTCCCATTTTGCAGATGAGAAAACAAACCTCGGGGTGGGGGGGCTTCTGCACTCACCCAGATGCAGATTTACAAAGCTTCAGGGACCCTCCCTCTAGGGGTGCCTTCTCTAAAGACCCTGTACCTAAGATTACATTGCAATTTTGTATTATTATTGGTGTTGTGTTGTAGTTGTTGTTGGTGATGGTGATGGTACTAGGGATTTAACCCAGTGTCACTTTACCAAGGAGGCTGGCCTTGAACTTGTGATCCTCCCATCTCGGCTTCCCAAGTGGCCTGGATTAAGGGGCACAGAGCCTGGCTAATCACTCCCTGGAGAGGAGACTGAAGCCCCAGCAGGCTCCGTTGGTAACGTGCCCGTAAACCCTTACCTGAGACCTGAAGAGCTGTTTTGCTGCTAAATTCTTATAATTCGGGCATTTTGGGAAGAAAATATGCTGCCTCTGTTGTGTGTGACCATGATCAGGTCAGATTTTGCTGCCAAATGAGTTAGGGAAACGCTGGTTCGGAGTCTCGTTAGACTTTGGGCTTGTGGTTATGGGGCAGGGGGTCTCTATTGATAGGCAAGGAGCGGGGGTCGTAGGGTCTGATCTCTTGTGTGTCTGTAGATTGGTTGATTGGCCCATCCATCAGCCATCCTCCCACCCCCACCTTTGTCTCTCTCTCTCTCTCTCTCTCAACCCTTTTTCTTTGCAGAAAGGATTTTAGAGGCCTGGGATCCTTTTGCCCTTTAGTCCGGTTTCTTCTAACACGGAGCAGGGCCTGGGGGACGTGAGGAGATGAGCAGATGCGCATGCTCACGAGGGTCTGGGCTTATAGGGCGGGGTGGTGGGGGGCTTCCCAGTGCTGGTGGCGGGTCCCAGTGCTCAGATCTCCAGAGGCAAAAGATGATCAAGATAAACCCAACTTAAGACTGGCTTCCCCAGGCATGGGGGACCTGAGTAGCACCATTGAGGACTCTTAAGGGGACCATCCTGTCCTCACCAGCACGGACCTGTTGGACAGATACCGACTCACAACCACGGGACACGAAATGCACACAGGCCCCGGCAGAAGAAGTCAGGCTGGGGAGGAGGGGGTGAGTTTGGGTCTCGAAGCTTTTTGTAAGACGTTGGGTTTGATGACACAATACAAAGCCCCCTGAATAATTAACAGAGAAGCTCATTTAAGTTGGTTCTGCCAGCCTCTCCCCACTGCCCAGAGTAATCAAATTAGGGAATATTTAAAATCCAGCCAGAGGAAGAACAGGCGGTCCTTCAGCCCTAGAAACAATATTGGAGCTCGGGGCGCTTTTGAAGTCTGATTTGAGGTGCACCAAAGGGGAGCCCCTGGCTTCTGCGCCGGAGATCTTCTTTCAAGACCACAGGGCCTTCTGCTTTTCTCTCTGCTACAGCGGCCCCTGTTGAGTTGCCAGCTTTTTTTCTTCAAGTTCAAAAGCAACCCCCTTCCCCTTTCAAAATTAAATCTGGCCCCAGCCAGGCTTTCAAAAAATCTGAAATATTCAGGCCCAATCGGGAAGAGGGAAGTTTTCCGCCAATGCTGACTTCCAAGACGACCAGAAATCTATTGCCACTTCAAGGGGCCACGCTAAATGAGCTAAAAAAATGCAGCGAGTCTCCCGCAGACCTTCAAACGCCCCCCCCCCCCCCAGCCCTGGCACGGCAAAGCCACCGACACCGAAAAGCCCTGGTTGGACAAAATCGGTCTCTCTGATGTTTCATTTTCAGTAGCAAATAAACCAAACGGGGAGATCGATAGGTGGGAGGACAGGACAAAGCCACGGGGGGCAGCGATGTCCACCGCACACCTCGTGGGGAAGGGCAGGGCCAGCAGCAGGTCCTCCCCAGTGCTCTGATGGCGAGATCATTAGTGCAGTCCACCCACTTCCCTGCTCCCTCAAGTCAGGGGTGACTTGCTTTGTTCAAAAATACATGAGCGTGAGCCAGCGAGCAAGCGAGGGGAGCCTTGGGCGGGGGCTTTACAGGCCGTCCTGGAGTCATCTGGCGGAGCTTGTGCTGAGATGGCACTTCTGTCAGCCCCCTCCCCCGCCTGGCTGTAATGAGCAGAGAGCTGGATGCGTCAGGGCAGCAAGAAAGGAGCTTCTGTGGCGTGAAGCCGCTGAGATTTGGGGGTAGCATTTATTGCAGTTTAATCAAGATCCCCTCATTGATGCTCCCAATGCCCCGTCTGTGAGACCCGGGCCAGTCCCCCTGAGCATCAGAACCAGAAGAGGGTGATCTCAGTGGGGAGAGTTCCAGAGTCCCGCTGCCCACTGCTTCCTGAATGCACGACTTTGTGTGAAGTTCTATAGCCTCTCTGAGCCCCGTCTGTAAAATGGGGAGATAATATGAGCTATGCAAATGATTGCTGGGCAGAGGAAAAGAAGTGGGGCTCGTGAAGAGCCTGTGGGTGCCTTGTACAGAGAACCTGGTACAGTTCGCCTACCCACAGTGATGGTGTGCTTTTCACAGAAGAGATGTTTTTTTATGGGGGGGGGTTACCAGGGATTGAACTTGGGGGCACTTGACCACTGGGCCACATCTTCAGCCCTATTTTGTGTTTTATTTAGCGACAGGGTCTCATGGAGTTGCTTAGGGCCTGGCTTTTTTGAGGAGGCTGGCTTTGAACTCGCCGTCCTCCTGCCTTAGCCTCCCGAGAGCCACTGGGATGATACGCGTGCGCCATTGTATCTGGCTACATCAGAGATTTTACTGTGACTTTCAGGAGGAGCTGATGGTGGGGACGAGGCCCCAGGGCAGCTCTATAGGGGAGAAGTAGCTGTGATTTTCAGGCCATTATTTCCCCCTTTGGAAGCTTTCTGGGGGATCCCGTTGGCCAGAAATCAAGGGAAGAGGGCGTTGAGAACGGTCTCCTCTCTTTTAATGGTGTCCACCGAGAGAGCACGTCTTGTCCCTGGCTGTCGTTTGAAGATGTCCGTTTACAGTGGCAACCAGCAATTGTCTCCACCACTCTACTCTCACTTTCTGACTCACACTGGGCTGAAAACCTGTGCCTCAGGGTGGAAAGTCGGTTGACCAGGCCGTGTCCACCTGTCCGGGGCTGAGGGCAGGAACGGCTGATTCTGTACCTGGGGGTGGGCAGAGGCGGATCTCTGGGGATCCCCAAGGCCAGGCGGCCCCGCCCTGCCTCAGGAGGGATGAGACCATCTGATCATCCTGCCGCCTGCTCCCGCTCCCCGAGGTCGGCTGGGGAACCAGAGCGGACGGGATTGCAGCCACACAAAGCTCGGAGCAGGGGAAATCAAGAACTCCCTAACCTGTCACTTCCTGAGCCAGCCTTTCCAACTTCAAAGCACAGCCCCAGGCCCTGCCACTATATCCCATCACCCATTTATTTCCTCAGGACACTTAGAGCTATCTCAAATTATCTTGACTGTGACATGTTGATTATCTGTTGTCCCCTCTCTTCTCCAGAGGGAAGCTCCTGAGAGCAGGATGTGGGCTGTTATCTGCGATGCAGCCTTCCCAGCAGTGTGCCACCAGCAAAAGGCCTAGCTGCAGGTCAGTGACATACTCTTGGGTGGGGGTGGGGGTGGGGCTACAGGACAAAGGGCAGGCCCCTTTAAATATAAGCCATTTCATTAAGAAGTGCCATTGGGTGTGCTGGTCAAGGAGACTGCCCTGTTGCATGAAAGGGAAAATTTTGGAAAAACTTTTTTTTCCCCTTGGAGAATTGGTGAACATATTTCTGTATATTCTTAAACCCATAAGCTCCAGAGGTGCAGCCGCGAAGGGATGCTCCTCCTGTGTCAAGTTAAACAGGAAGCCTGGAGTGGCAAAGCCGTATGTGCAGAATAATACTTTCGACTCTTTTATGAAAGAAAATGATACCTATATCACCTTGATAAGTGGGTCCCTTTTTAATGTGCCACTTTGTAGTGAGATAACCTGTTTTCTTTTTTTTTCTTGAGGGAGGGCACCAGATGATTCTCTAAATTAATTGGAGACTTTGGGCTTCGGCCACAGACACTGGAAATGATCGTCGAGCGGTTGAGCACCCAAGTTCTCTAGCTGGGTTCAGATCCCGACTTCTCTTTGGCTAGCTCTGCCGCTTGCAGAAGATGACTCCGATCCTCTGGGCCTCCGTGTCTGCACTGGCCAGGTGGAATGGGGCTCAGATGAGGTCACAGAGTCAGAGCAGTGCCCGATTCCGAGCTCTGGCTATTTCCGTTATGAAATAGTGGTTGGATTTAGGGGTTCGTGTTGAGCCACCAAAGTGTGGGTTCCTTTTGAGCCATCTGTATTTTTATAAGGAAAGGGGGTGTTCTTTGTGCCTAGACTCCTTCCATAAAAGTTAGGATTGCTGAGAGTTTGCTAGAATGCAGGTTCTCAGGCCCCAACCTGCTGGATCAGAATCTTTATGCTAACTGGGGTCCCCAGCCGCACAGTGTGAAGAGCTTTGAACTAAGAGTGCATGGAAATGTTTTGGAGACTGCAGAGCAATTAAACACATACATTATCATATTTAAAAATCCAGAGGAAGCTACAGTAACCAGGATTCCACTCACCTGTCCCCCAAGCCCCCAGTGAAGAGTGGGTACAGAGGGCAGAGGGGTCTGTCTGGGGCAGTCGGAGGCAATGGGACCTAGACATCTGAGCTGCTTACTTGGCTCCAGGGGACAGCACAGGTCTGTGGGGACAGCTCTGTGTGATGTCCCCCACCTGGAGGGTAAACTGGTGACTCTTGATTCTCTCCCTTCTTTTGCAAGGTCTCCCCTGCTTTTCCCCAAGGTGACTAGAAAAGATGGCAGAAGGGATGTGGCTGGAGAGGGACTGCCATGTTTGCTCACCTGCTCCTCCAGAAAGTTCTACTCAGGCTTAGTCCTTGGAAAGATAGTCTTTTTTTTTTTTTTTTTTTGGTACCAGGGATTGAACCCAGGGGTACTTAACCACAGAGCCACATCCCCAGCCCTTTTGGTGTTTTACTTGGAGACAGGGTCTCCCTGAGTTGCTTAGAGCCTTGCTGAGTTGCTGAGGCTGGCTTTGAGCTCACGATCCTCCTGCCTCAGCCTCCGAGCTGCTGGGATGACAGGTGTGTACCACTGAGCCCAGCCAAGATATTCTTTAATAAGAATACCGTCAATTCAGGTCTAAAACCTCTATTTCAAACCACCCCCCAAAGGATTGAATAACAAGATTTTAATAACTTATTTGGCAGCAAAATGTGACCTGAAAGGAGTTGCCCTTTATTTAGGAACTTAGGATAAATATTCACTTTTTGTTTCCTGCAGACTCACATCTGTGCCGCCCCGGGCCTCCTTGGGAGTGTGACGTTCTATATGGTAGATACCTCATACTTCCTTTTTAAATTAGAAAAAATAAGTCAGAATTCTGAAACACAGTTGGCTCCAAGGGTGGAAAGACTTATGGACCTTCACACAAAAAAATCAGGTGTGACTTTGTCTAAAAAGAGGTTTGTACTCTTGCAGAAAGATAATTGTCATAGTATTGAAGGCTAGTTTCTCTTCTTGGTCTGAACCCTATCGTCTGACCAATAGAAATAAACTCTCTTAAGAGCAGTAGGATTAATAAGGGTGCTGGGATGTGGTGCTATGTCTGAATTGCTATAGGAGGAAACTGAGAATTGAGAAGTTCCCCACCCCCAAGTAAAACAGAGACTCAGATGCAGCTAATCCTAAAATTTGTTGTCTGCCCGTTCACTTGACCAGCCATCAATCCATCCAGACATGAGATCCTCATCCTGTGAATGCTGATGGTCCCTCTCGAAGCATTCTAGCTGCCCCTTGGTCAAATCTCGCTGTGTGTGCCCAACCCACGCGGAGGAATTGAACCGCCCCCACATTCCTGCTATAAATCCATAAAGAGAGGGACTTGGTATGCAGATGTCATGATGCCTCTGGGAGCCATGGGTCACCGGGGATGGATATTTCCTTTCAGAAAATCCTCGGGGGCTGGCAGGGTCAGGGTCTGGGTCTCAGAATTAACACCAGGAGAGGCTGGCTCTCGGCTGATGGAAATTCGGATGAGCATTCACCAGAACTGGGGACCTGGGGCTTCTTCTTGGGGTCGTTCCCTGAGGTGTTTCTCTTTGGAGTTAGATATTTTTGGTGGACCTTGTGTGTTTGCCCAGTGACCCAGTGACCACGGATCTCATGTGCTGCTAAAATTCTGCTCAGAAGTTTCTTTTCTAGCCTGAAGTCCCAAAGGCATCCATAACCAGAAATTCTTGTCCCCCAGAGCTGTCATTTAAACAGACCCTGGGGTCCTGGAGTTGGCTCACATGGACGGGTGAGAATCCAGGGGCAACTCTTCCCAGCTCCAAGCCCAGTGACATCACGCTGGCCATCTTGAAATCAGCCTCGGCCGGGTATTCACACCAGGGACATTGGCCTTACTACAAACCATGTCTCTCCAGGCCCTGAAAAACTGCCTGTTAAACATTTACCATCGTATCCCGGGGCCCTGCATTAAAAGTCCCTACTAGGAGGAAATGGTCTACTAGAGAAAAGCCAGACCCCACCAAGATACTCTCCCTGCCAAAGGCAATCTTCTTGAACTGCACTATTCTCTTGGGTCTGTCTGAATTATTCTGATTCTGCTTTTAGAGAGCCGGGCAACCTTAGATCCCTGCCCTTATCAATCATCCATACTCAATGAGACCAATATGTCTTTTTACTGCCAACAACAATTTTTTTTTCTTGGTTACGTTCTGAGCACATTTTTTTAAAAAAAGCAACTAAAGAAAATAAAGATGGCCCTTTCTCTCTCTCCTCCGTCCACATCCTACATGATGCTCTTCCCTCTGTGAGGGAGGGTGGGTGTGTACACGTCAGAGGCAAGGTTGCTGTTGGTGGCCGATGAAATGCAATTAGTAGTCCCCAGGCTCAGGGGCTTTTTTCTTAGAATCTAAGCAATCAACGGTGGAAAAAAAAATGTACATGTTGCTTTGACCTAGCGATTCCCATTTCTCAGAATCCAATCAAAAGAAATATTCACAACTGGGCACGAAAGACATGTGTAAGAATGTTCCGTGAAGAGCCACTTGGAATGTCAAAAATTTGAGAATAGCCTCCATGTCTGTCAATAAAGATATGCTTATCTGAATTATGTTCCATCCACACGACAGAATGCCCCAGTGTGTGTGCCTTTCAATATGAACAGAATGCGGAAGATGGGTAGGTGCCATCATGAGTCCCTGTAAAAGGCGAGGGCGGGGAATGAGGTAGAGAACAATATTTTAAACCATTTTCCATCAAAAATATCTGTGAGCCAGGCACCGTGGTGCAAGCCTGTAATAATCCCAGTGACTAGGGAGGCTGAGGCAGGAGGAGGTTTGCAAGTTAAGGCCAGCCTCAGCCACATGGCGAGACCCTGTCTCAAAATACAAAGTAAAAAGGGCTGGGGATGTAGCTCAGTGGTAGAGTGTCTCTGGGTTCAGTCCCCTGTACCAAAAACAAAAAAATGAAGAAGGTATTAAAGAGATTTGGAATGGCACACCTTAAACCTTTAAAAGGAGTTTTTCTCTAAGGAGGGAATAAAAGCTTTTATACTTTATATGCTTATAAATTTTTTTTGAAAAATTTCTATGAGTAAATTGCATTCACTCATAACTTGGACAGTTTGGTTTTAAAGAAAAATGAATAATGCATGATGAATGTTTGAAGGCTGTGGGTTTCAAACAAATTCTGGGAATCATAAAAGATATTTTGTAAATAACTGAGGGGCCAGGGTGGGAGTGGGGCCCCGGGTCTCTCAGCCCTTAAGTCTCTTCCTTCCTGAAGAGGGTCCATTCAGAACAATCTGGTTTACATTACAGGGATTTTGACGTGAAAAAGAAAAAAGTAAACTATTACTGCTTAAAAAATAGTTTGTAAGCCACTGTATCAAAAAAAAAAATACTACAATTGTAACTTTGTCCCAGCCAAAAACACTGAATAAATTAGTTACTAACATGTTGGTAGATGCAGAATTTATATCTGTGATTGCGTCTGAGGCTAGTTTATCTGGGTCCTGGTGCAAGAGGTGAACTGGGGGACTAGGAGGGACGGGTGGTCCATGTCCTCGGAGGAAGGAGTTAATGAGGACCAATATTTGGAAGAGAAGAAAACTGAACTTTCCCAGGAGGTAGGGCTTCTAGAGGCACCCAGGCCCATGAAGGTGGAGGAGAGGACCCTTAGCACTGGGGATGGGGTTTATTAAACTCAGCCTGTGGTTTTCACAGTGCAAATCCTGTTCCTCAAGACTGGGTTCCTTATTATTATTTTGTGTCCCATTTTTTTTTTTTACAGACAATTTGATTTCTTAAAGAATAAGACTCGTTTGTTCCTATTTCTTGTTCCACCTTGCATGTCCCGTGCGGTTCTTGCTACCTTGGCCTCAAAGCTTGGGCCTGAGCCCTGTCCCCTGGAGGTGATGCTCCTGACCCTTTTCTTGGCCTGGACAAAGTGTTCTGGAAGCTTCTGCTTGGGCAAACCCCAGCTGCCCCAGGGAGCTGCATTTCAGGTACAGACGTCCTTGGGTCCAAGTGGTGAAACAGCGCCCAGAACACATTGAAAAGACAGCACAGCCAAACCAAGCAACTCCTTGAGATGAAGGAGCAAGTCAAGAACAGGGAGATAAGGGAAGAAGAAAAGGGACCCGGAGAAGGAGGGAGAAGAAGAAAGAGAGAAAAACTAAAAATGGTAAGGAGGAGACACCGTCCCCCCGGAGGGCTGGAGAGCAGTCTGGCTGAGGATCTGCCAATTTCTGTGGTGTAAATTCTCCCACTGTGACCGGCTGATTTCAAGCCACCCATGTGATGTCGCTAGGCTGCAAGGGTCTGCACCCGATCGGGTCTGTGTGAGCTGCTTCTGCCCTGCCCTGTTTGGATCCCTCAGAATATATGGAGCCCCTAAAGCAACCTGGTCACCTGGTCACCCGGAAGGACGAACTGGGGGGAGGAGCGGAGGGCAGCCCTTCCCGCTGCCCAGGCTGGAGCTAGCGCGGGGCAGGGTGGAGGCGCAGATGCCTACTTGAAATTCCAGCAGGTGGTCACCGACTTCATGGTGTGGTGGGTGTGGTCGATGGTCAGGGACTCCAAAAGCCAGTGCAGGGCGCAGAGCTGGCGGAACAGGGGCTCGCTGCAAAGACACAGGGAGGGGACACAGTGAGATCCCGTTACGACAATCTTCACGGGAAAGATTGGTACTGGTGATTGAACCCAGAGGGGCGCTTTACCACTGAGCCACCTCCCCAGACCATTTTATTTTCCATTTGGAGACAGGGTCTCTCTAAGTTGCTTAGGGCCTTGCTCAGATGCCGAGGCCGGTCTCCAACTTGCCAGCCTCCTGCCTCAGCCTCCTGAACCTCTGGGATTACAGGCATGGGGCATGTGGATTGGGCACACATCCTGTCATCGGCCCCATTCTGGAGACGGGGAGTCTGTGACTCCGAGAGGTTAGGAAGGTGTGCCCATTACCGGGCCAGCAGGGGGCAGAGCCATGATTTGAAGCAAGGTGATCCTGGGCCAGCAGTGGGGGTTAGTGTGTGGTGCAGGAAGACAAGGGGGGTTCCCCAGATGGAGTCTCAACTCTGGCAAACTGAGGGAATTAATGACCAGGCACCTGGCTGTTTTTCCAATCAAAGGACAATAAGTGAGTTGGGTGACAGGTAGCCTGGAAAACAAGGAACTAGTGTGGTCACTACTTTTTTCTTCTTAATCAACAGGGGGACCCAGGGAAGTCCTTAAATGTGGACGTCCTTTGTCTGAAGATGCAGCTTGATATTGAAGAAAAGCACACTGAGCGTGATATTTGAAAACGTAACTAAAACACTATTTAAAAATAGGTCCCATCTACCTTTTCTGATGGGGGGGACACGTCATATAAAACATCTACAATGAGCCAGCTATTTTTTCCCATGTCATTTATTTCTGCCCCAAATCTGCGGAGGTATGAGTTATGATCCATTATTGTTTTGGAGAAGGGGAAACTGAGGCTCAGAGAGGTGAAGTGAGTAACCTGAGGTCACACACCTGGGAGTAGAGAGGAGTGGTCTGATTCCTCCTGGATATTGTGCTCCCCCGGGCCTGAGCTCTGTCTCTCACGGAGGCCTCGCTCTCCTCCGGTGAAGCCGAGGAGGCGGTCGGGAAGGGTTAACAGGCTGCCTGTGTTTTTCTTGGACTCAGCTGTCCTCACCTTCCACGACTGACTTTCCCTCCCACTAATAGAGCAGAGGCCTCCAGTACCAAGCCCTGTAACTGCTCTTTCCTGAGATTGCATCCCTCCTGGACCCTGTTCTCTGCTCCTGGTGCATGTTTATCTTCTCTGCCTTTCAGTGACGGGGCTTCAGCTCATAATCACCTCCACCAGGAAGCCCTCCTTGATTGCTCCGGGCCTGGGTTAGGCTCTCTCCAAGGACTTTCTAAACCATCCCCATGTCTTCAATGTGTCCCTCTGTCCCTACCCTTTGGGTCCTCGCTCTATTATAACTACTTGTGTTTTTGACCCTCCACGGACCTGAAAACCACAGAGTCCTGCCCAGTCCGGGGTTCCCGGTCCTGGGCAGAGTGGGCTCAGTGTATTTCTGGTTACTGAACGGAGGATGGTGGGGATGGATTGGTTCAGATCTGACATTTTCCTGAAGCTGATAACTTGGGGTCGCCAAGAACCGTTGAGATAGGACATCGTCACAAGAGCCCAATCAGAACAGCGGTGAATACTTGGCAGAGAGCATTCCTTTGTGTCCGACCCTGTTTTCTGTGCTCGACACACAGTAACCAATTTCATCCTCATGAATCCCCGTGGGGGAGGCCTCACGGTCATCCCCATTTTGCAGATGGGGAAACAGAGGCCCAGAGACTCAGGCAACTTGTCCAAGGTCACAAAAGCCGGCACATGGCAGAGCTGGAACTGGAGTCCGGGCCTCTGGCTCCCAATTTGGTGCTCTTCACCACAGTGCTGATTGGTGGCTTGTGAGTCCAAAGCCCCCCGGAGCATCCCGTGCTGGTGGTCGAGGGCACATTGGGGTGTGAGTTCTGGTCTTGGCTTTTGCTGCACCATTGACCACAGAAGGCCGTGGGGAAGGGGCAGCCTCGTTATTTTAGAGAAGAAAAGGAAGGATCCTAGAACCCACAGCCCCCTCTGGTCTACAAAGCATAAGATTATTTATCATCTGGCCCTTGAAGAGCATAACAGTGACAACTTCCACTGGGATGCCGTTGATGATAACATATCTGATACACCTGGTGTAAAGAGCTGACTCAGGAGCTACAGGATCAAGATTCCTGCTGTGCAACCTTTGGCAAGTTCTGGGCCCTCTCTGATTCACTTTCCCCAACGGGCATTGAAGGAAGAAGGGCAAGAAGCTACCACTAGTCATTTCGTGGCTGATTTAAGCTTCGGTGTGGTCAGACCAAATGAATAGAGTATATGGTGGTGTTTGGGCGGGATTGGGTACTTTCCCAGATATCCCTCAATATCCCCAGATGCAAGGGACATCTCACTGGCTTCAGAGGGCTTGTCCATAAGAGACGCAGGGACAGCCCAAGTGTTTCCAAGGGACATTAGGAGAGATTACAAGGCCTCTTGCTGGAAGGAGATGTTTTAAGAGCATCAGGCTTCGACTGCCAGTTGGATGACCCTGAATGACTGGGTCTAAAGAGAAGCCAGTCAAGCGGGGTATGGTGGCGCATGCTGGTAATCCCAGTGACTCGGGAGGCTGAGGCAGGAGGATTGCAAGTTTGAGACTAGCCTCAGCAACTTATGGAGACCCTAAGGGACTCAGCAAGACCCTGTCTCAAAATCAAAGCTGAAAAGGGCTGGGGATGTGGCTCATTGGTAAATCACCCGGGGTCCAATCCCTAGCACCAAAGAAGAACAGAAAATGAAATCAAAGATAAAATCAATCCGAGGGACGTAGGAGGAAAGTGGGATGGGGGTGGGGCTCATCACAGGCCCGACTGTTAGGGAGGGATGAGGAGGTGGCCAATAGACACTGATGGTGGAGACCAGGGTGACCATGGTGTGGGTGACCTTTGCACGTCCACCCACGAGGTAAGTAAGTGCTCTTGCTAACGATTTACCCATCTGCCATCTGTCCTATGATCTCACTCTCGCATTATTTGACTCTACAAGGGCAGAGGACTTGGCTCTCCAAATATACCATGAGCACCTCCAAGGCCAGATCTAGGGACACTCTTTCTGTGTAGCACGTGGTGACAAGAACCCGGGCTCTCAGGCCAGACCAGCTGGCTCCAAGCCTCAGTACAGGGAGACCCTGAGCTGTGTGAGCCTGGGTAGGTGAATAGACCTCTCTGAGCTTCTGCTTTCTCCTCTTCCAGGTGGGGATAATAAGACACCTATCCAATGGGATGCTAAGAGTTTTGAATGAGGTAATGAGCACCTAGAGAGTGGTCAGTAGTGGCCAATAATGCCGGAAGGGTCATGGAGGTCTAATACATAAATCTGTCTCACTAAAGTTCTTAAACCGACTCCGTAGCTTCCGGTAGTTGTTCTCAACATGGGATGGAGGGGAGCGGGTCATTTCCCACCTACGGGGACTTTTGGCTGTCCAGAGACGTTTCTGGTCGTCACAGGCTGGGGAAGTAGAATTCCCGGCATCTAGTGGGTAGAGGCCACGGAGGTGACTAGCCATCCTACAGTGACCTGCCAGACTTTCACGACCAGCAAGAATTCTGGGTCCCCAGGCGTGGACAGTGCTAAGGTGGAGGGACCCTTCCCTCAAGCCAGAGGCTGCTACCTCCGTGCCAAAGCGCTGCCTGTTGAAATGAGCAGCCAGTGCAAAAGGAGAGTTTGGACTTGCGACTCTCTGGGGGACACACAGGGGACAGGGATGTCCTGGTGTTAGAAAGCAAGAGTACCCTTTTGCAGGGCTAGCCAGCCTCAGGGGCACTCAACCCCTGAGTCACATCCCCAGCCCTATTTCGGATTTTATTTAGAGACAGGGTCTCCCTGAGTTGCTTAGGGCCTCACTAAATTGCTGAGGCTGGTCTGAACTTGCGATCCTCCTGCCTCAGCCTCCCGAGGGCGGCTGGGATGACAGGCGTGGGCCACCTCGCCCGGCTTGCTTTCTGGTATTTTTCATGCCAGATAGGTTTGCCAGCGGCAAGCTCGGTGTCCCTTTCAAGAGGACAAGGGAATGCGTAGCTCAAGGGTTCCCTGCACACCCCCGTGCCCCGGGTCATTTCCGATGGCGAGGCTGGGGAGCCGGGTGAGGCTACTTACACGTGAGCCTCGGGCATCGAGGGCAGGAAGAGGCAGCTGCGCATGGGGGTGAACGGGCGGAAGATGATGTTGGTCCCCGACTTCTTCTCGTCCTCGTAGATGCTGGAGAAAAAGCAGAAAGAGAACCATGAGTAGCAGCTTTCGACGCCTCCTTCTCTTATATTACCAGGAACTATTACGTAGCAGGCAACAATACCAGCCCCAGGAATAGGGTCAAGGTCATAGGAGAAGTTTGGGGACACAGTGCCGAAAACTCCCCACCCTGTTCCTGGAAGGCCCTGTGGTTTCTGAGCCACCGTCTAAGGACCTTTTCTATGAAACAATTGAGGGTTCCTGGATCCGCTCACTTGTACCCAATTGTTAGTGACCACTTTCTTTGTGCTGGGGACAGCGGATGTAGCAATGAATGAGACTGACTCCAGTGGGGGTAAACAGGCACTGCCAAACCCACCCTTGTGCTTTGACAGCTGAAAATAGGGAATTTGACTGAGGAGGAAGCTGGGAATTCTTCCTTGAAGCTGAGAAAGTCGTGGTGATTTCAGGACACGTTCCCAAATTCCTCGATAGTCTTGCAAGTGACAGATGGGTCGACATCTACTTCCCCCTTAGATCGGGACCCTTAGACTGGTTGACCCAATAGCACGTGTCAGAAGTGACGTCATGCCAGGCCCCAGGCGCTGGCCGGCTCTCCTCTGCATGTCCTGGGATGGTCCTGCCTAGTGTCCAGCCACCATACTGTGAGGAAGCTGGCAGCCTGCGAAGAGGCCCAGAGGGAGAGGGACTCGGCTCTCAGCTCCCGGCTCCCAGCCACCCATGAGAGTGAGCAGTCTTGGAAATGGATCCTTTGAGCTTCCCTAGCTCCTGCCTTGCGGTTTGAAACAGAGACAGTCCTGCCCCTCCAACTGCAGACTAGTGAAAGAAGAGTTTGTTGTCTTGAGTTAATACGTTTTGGAGCGACTGTTCATGGCAACCATTATGGGAATAAGAGTAAAGACTGAGCTTCAATCTGAAGGTTGAATGGGAATCAACTAGGCAGATGGAGGAGGGAAAGGCCTTCTATGTGGAGGAAACAGCATGTGCAAAGATCCTGTGGTAGAGGGCATATGGTGAGTAGGAAAGCAGGAGGCCGTGGAGAGGGCAACTTTCATCTTTTTCAGTTGAGAAACATTAGCCATTGAGGGTGTTACGGTGACAGAAGGGGCTAGGGGAGGCGAGACTGGCACACGAGTGAGGAGCTGACTGTCCTCCTGGTATTCGAGATTAATCCTGGGTCACAGAGTTAATGAAAAGGACCTAAATGTAGGTTTCCCCCTATTTCCTCTTTCATTGACTATTCAATGCTGGAGCTGAAGAAAGAAAACCTACAAGCAAACACGTTAATTTGCCCCACCTTACCGGCTCATCCTGGTCTCCCGGTGGATTAGAATATGTAGAAATTAGCCCCGTGTTTGTACTCCTTAATCTCTGGTTCTGGCCTTTGTAAACGACAATGAAAGAACAGATTCCACTCATCTTCCCCCCCACCATTTCAGCAGAATCTGAGGCTGAAAAAAATGAGGTCATTGAACGCGTTGGGAAATAATGCTGGAAGACAAGAACCTTCCGGAACAGGCTTGATTTTCTTTTTTCCCTGCGTACTTTGTCAGACTTAAAAACTTTTGTCTAAAAAAGAACTTATTCTCTGGTCTTACATCCTGAGGGGGCACCGAAAATAATCCCTTTTGCTTTCATGAGGCGCGAGATCAAATGCTTGGTTTAAAAAAAAAAAAAAAGTCTTCCCAAATGAATGCTTGTATTTTTTTGGATACTGTTGTGCTTGGAATCCTATTTATAGAAACACAGCTTTTTAAATGTGGGGTACTTCCCATAGCCTTCCTGGAATTTAAGGTTTTGAGGCACAGGTGGGAGGATTTGAGGTAATTGAGGCCCAGGGAGAGCAAATTCACTTTATTGCATAATTAATAGGTGATAATTACACCAAGGGTGTCTTAGAAGTTGGGCCCTGTGCTAAGTACCACTTCATTTAATCCTCCTAACAAGCTTGGAGGTTTGGTACCCTTCATATGCGCAAAGGGAAAAAGGAGGCTCAGAGAGGTACAGGTGTTTGTCCGAAGTTGAACAGTTGTATTGCAGAAGTAAGGATTCGAATTCAAGTCCCGACTGGCTCCAAGGTTTGTGCTCCTCACAGTTCCCTGTCTTGGTGCGTGCCATCTCCTAATCCCATTTTATAACAGGTCCCCACTCTGGCATTTGATGGCTACCTTGCCTTAATGGCTTACAATTTCATTTTAATAACCAGCCTTGTACAGCGCGTAGAATCTACCCGATAAGATACAACCAGACCAATGTCTGCGAGACAAGCCATCTCATGCATATTTAAACTTATTAAACTTTAAATACACCATGTCTCGCTCGCTGAAACACGGATGGGAGAAGGGAGAACTGTGTTCTGTGACCGCGGATTAAACACTCTGTCCAAACAGGCAACCACTTAAACAGGCGGGGGAGCCTCTTTAGCAGATGGGCTCCTGCCCCTGCCTGGAGCTGCCTGGCCTGTTCCTCTGAGCAGGACTCCTGGAATAAAGAGCCACGAGTTGATTCCTTCTAGATCCTTCCAGGGAAAGCTGGCTCCATCACCAGGAGTCGCAGACTGTACGAGAGCCCCTGGGCTCAGGCTGGAGGGCAGCATGTCTGCTGAGCTCTAGGGACCCCTCTGGAGAAAATGGGAAGCTCTGGGCTCATGGAGTGGCCTTCTCTGCACCACACACCCCTTCAGGGTCTGACGAGGACACTGGAATGGTTCTGGCTTTGCATGTCACCTTTCTAACGCCTGGCACAAGACACCGTTGGGTGTACGGGGTGCAGTTAGACAGGAATCATCTCTAATTCTTTTGCACGGTGGGGTAACTGTGGTTGACAGCAGTTACTTGTCCATCTGAGCCGAGCTAAAGCGAGTTTTGAATGTTTCCCGACACAAAGAAATGATCCATGTTTGAAGGGATGCGTATGCCGGTCGCCCTGACACTTGCAAGTGGCGCTCGTTGTGCATGGAGATGTTACCCTGTGCCCCACACGCATGTAGATTATTAGATGTCAATCGAAAAATTAAACAGATATTTTTTGAAAAGGTAACACAGTTGCACCCCCCCTTCTCCAACCTGGACCATCCCATGCAGATGTGCTGGCTCCAGGGCCGTCTGGTGGGCTTGTGGGGACATTGATGGAGCTTCTGATTGTGCTTTGTGTCACTCAGCAAGCTTCTGTCCAGTATGGAAGGGCCTCCTGGGATTTTTTTCCCCCTAGATTTCCTTTTTACATCCTCTACTTGAGGGGCTGGGTGTACTTGAGGCACTTTGGCACGTCCCCCCGTCGCACTTCGCTGTGGTTGAGGGTGGAGTAGGGGCGCTCTTAATGCTCTGGGTACCTCCATGTGCCCCCAGAGGGCTTGTGCACACAATGGTCTTTCAACACGCAGTGGTTGATTGTGCAATGAGGGTAGATCTGCGTCCAGACAGCCTCTCTTGCCTGCTCCAAACTGACTTTGAACCTGCTCCACAATTGGATGCACCAAGGGAACCGTATTACTAAAGATCCCCGAGGGACATGGAAATGGGTTCGAATTTCACACCTTGAGGCAAACCCTCCTGCACATCTTAGATATGCCTGTTTCCTCCCTCTTCTTTCTTGTCTTGGTGGGCTACACCCCTGGCCCGTCTTCTGGATGTCTCCCTCCCGGTTGAATTGATTTGCTCTTCCTGTGTATTGAACGTATCAGATTCATCCAGATGCCCCCTGCCCAAGTGACAGAGCTTCCTCCCTGGGGTGGCCACTCCTTAAGAGGCACAGATGAGGGATTGTCAGCCAGACATAGTTTTTCTGTCTTAGAAAAAATACATGAGTCAATAAATGAAGGCACAAATGTCAGGCTAGCCTATTTAGACAAAAACAAAACAAAATTGCTGGACAAAATAGAAAAAAAAAAAACTTAAAAGTGGCAGACAGCTGACCGTGAAGTAGAGATGTTTGGAGCAAAGCTGGAGAACTTGGAGCCATGCTTGGTTTCTGTCGCATTTATCACACGCATTCACGGCGTCGAGGAACCACTGTCTCTATCTAGTCCCCAACCTTTTTCATGGCCACCAAAGGAGACCCCGTATCTAGTAAGCAGTCTCTGAGCCTCTCTGTCTGCTGCCACCAACCACCCTGATTTCTGTCTAGGACGAACCTCAAACCCACTGTCTTAAGCAGAAGAAGCCAGACAGAGCTCACATAGGATTCTGCTGAAAAGTTTTTAGGAAGTGCACATTCCTATTTCTTTAACTGTCTGGAAAACAGAATTTTTGCAAAGGGGGTGTCTGCTCCCATGTCCTCTTGAGCTAATGCCCTGGCCTTTTGGATTCCTGAAGGTGGCCCCTGGCACAATGGAGCTCAACCATGGCTCCCCATTGGCATTTCCCAAGGGAACTTTAAAAAGCAGGAGAACTTTAAAATAGACCTTTTAAACTTTATTTTAAAAACAAGAGAAACATATCGTGTAACCGGCCCGGAAGGTACCCTGGGCACTGGTATCTTGCAGACCCCTCCGGGTAGTCTAGTAGGTAGCCAGGGTTGGGACGGCTGTGGCCATGGGGTACTGGACGCAGCCACAGGCCATCTCTAGGGCGTGTTTCCTCTCTGCCCACTCTGGCACCTCTGCCCTGTCCCTGCTGTAGATTTCCTTGGGCCCACACAAGCTCAGTGTCTCAGAATTTTGTCCAGGACGGTTGGTGCAGCCCGCGGATTTGGGTGCCACGGAGTGTGGGCATCAGGCTGCTTTCTAACTGATGGCCTTGGGGAAATGATTGACACCTCTAAGTCTCATCTGCATGGCTAGAGTAGGGCCAGGGATTCCTGTTTCATGGGGCAGGCGTTTGTGGGAGGAGATATTCCCCGGTAGACCAGAAGGCTGGACGGCGCCACCCAGGGGAGGGCCCCTATCAGCCCCTCAGCTCCCTGTCCACTTACACCAACAACGAGTCCCCTAACTGGATCTCGGAGACCTTCTTGGCCGGCTGGAATTTATTTCTCTCTTCTTCCTCCAGCTTCTGGGGTTGCAGCTCCTCCTTCTTCAAGTTGCTCTCCTCCCTCAGAATGGTGAAGTAGCCGCGGCCCATCTTCACCGCCTGGATCAGGGAGCTGCAGAGACCGGGGTGGGAGAGATGGAGGCAGAAAGAGAGAAACAGACGCAGACAGACAGATGGAGAGAGGGGGAGACAGAGAGAGATGGAGAGGAGGAGAGAAGCTGAATATCTGCAATTCAGATATGGAGTGGCTACTGTGTGCCAGGCACCCTGCTAGGTGCCATGAAATCAGTGTGACCATCTGCAGGCCACAGGATTAGACACCATGGTGCATGGGAGAGGGTGAAGAGGGGCTTTTCTGTGATGGCCACCGGCAGAGGGCACACCTGCCATCCCAGCAACTCAGGAGGCTGAGGCAGGAGGATGACAAGTTGGAGGCCAGCCTCGGCAACTCAGTGAGAACCTGTAGCTAAGGGGATGTATCTGATCTGCGTGACGGAGCGCTTGCCTAGTGTGCCTGAGGGCCTGGGTTGATTCCTAGCACTGGGGTAGGGGGAGGGGAGGGGAACCAAAAGCCAAAAGTCACCATCATATTTCCTAGATATAAATGTTTGTTCTAAAATTCAGTTTCATTTGTTGTCTTCCAAATTCCTAATAAACAACCGATGTGTGCTAGACGCTGAGCTGACTGTTTAAGATACACGGGGTGTCTGGAGTTCATGGCCAGTGGGGGAGAGAGACCTGGGCCGTCAATGATGACAGTCCTGAGGTGGGGGACAGCTAATTCAGGCAAATTGGAAACTGGGTGGGTGGAAACTTCCTCTCGGAGACAGGGATATTTTCTTTCCTTCTTTCAGAGCAGCCTCGTCCTCCCTCCGAGTCTCTCTCTGCGCTCAGTTTTGATGGGGAAGTTCTCAGTCAGCTGTCACGGCCGGACTCTGATTAACTGACCCCTGCTTATTGCTAGGAGGAGTTGGGGTGTTCCTAGGGGCATTTCCTTAGCAGGGGGCTCCTGTAAATGACCACGGGGGAGAGGCTGGGAGCCAGCATGGATGCTCTGCTGGCATTTTCCAATCATAGTGTACAGGTGGTAGCTGAGCGCTGACTTCTCACTCATTCATTTCTCTGGCTGGTCTTGGCTGAACATCAATTCCAGGTACCAGTGCAGGGGGCTGGGACTGCCCAAAGGAATAAGGCATTGGTCCCCAGAGAGTTCCCCGTATAATGGAGAAAGAACACCCCAGAGGTACACTCTACACCTGAATTACCTCAGGGCTAGAGGAACCCAGGGAAATCACGGGAGGCTTCCTGGAGAAGGTGACATTTGGGCTAAGTAGGAGTGCCACCAAGAAAATGTCACACCAGTGAACAGATCAGGAAGGCTAAAGGCCAAGAGGTAGATCTTTAGATAGCCTGGTCAGGGAACCACCAATACCTTTCTTTTCTTCTTTTATAATTTTTTAAAATTTGTTTTAATTACTTATTCTTGATAGTAGAATGCATTTATGCAATTTGATATATCATACAAAGATGGGGTATCACTTCTCCGTTTTCTGATTGTACATGCTGTAGAGTCACATCAGTCCTGCTGTCATATATATACATAGGGTCATAATGCCTGTTTCATTCTACTATCCTTCCTATCCCCATGTCCACTCCCTTCACTCCCCACTACCTAATCTAAGGTAACCCTACTCTTCCCTAGTGCCCCCCTTACTGTGAATTAGCATCTGCATCTCAGAGAAAACATCCGACCTTTGGTTTTTTAGGATTGGCTTATTTCACTTAGCATGCTAGTCTCCAACTCCTTTGACCCAGCTATCCCTCTCCTCAGTCTATACCCAAAGGACTTAACATCAGCACGCTACAGGGACGCAGACACATCAGTTTATAGCAGCTCAATTCACAATAGCTAAACAATGGGTGAATGGATAAAGAAACTGTGGTATATATATATACACAATGGAATACTACTCAGCCTTAAAGAAGAATGAAATTACGGTATTTGCCAGTACATGGGTGGAGTTGAGAATATCATGCTAAGTGAGTTAAGCCAATCACAAATGTCTTTAAGAAGCTGGAGCCCGGGAGAGCAGGGGAATGGCGAGGTTACAGCCTTCATTTCTTAAGTGAGCCTGGATTTGGGGGCTGCCAGGAAGCTGCCAACATCTGATGGAGCTTTTGCTGACAGCTTTCTAAGCTAGTAACGACACCCCAACATCCTGTGAAGTTCCATAATCAATTCTTCCTGAACTGGCATCTCTGTCATTATGACTGCAGTTACCTTACTCTCTGCTTCGGCCACGCACCTCTCTCAGATGAGCCCCTGTCTTCCAATCACCTTTTTACAATTGTTGCCGCCATCTTTGCTGCGGTCACCTCTGTGTGTCCCAACTCACTTGTCCCTCCTGGTACCCTGTCTGCACAACTCAGTCCTTGAGATGGTAGCCAACAAAGCATAGGAGTATAAGTCGGAGGGTCTGGAAGACCTTGACATTGGCTTGCAAAATGGAAAAACTTTCAGAGTGGGGGGGTCAGAGGCTGACATAAAAAACCTAGGGACAGTCGTGGAGTGACATCCCCCGCCTTTTTCTTCTCACAGTGCTGGGAATCCAACCCAGCACCTTGCATAAGCTCAGCCAGATCTCTGCTGGGGAGCTCTGCCCCCAGGCCCAGCATTCTCTGAATATATTGTTGCAAGGTCCCTTGTTGACTCTGAGCTCAAGAGTGTGCAGTGGGGCTGGGTTTTGCATGGGAAGAAGTTTGAGGAATTCCTTATCCAATGCGTTCCACCTATAGGTTTGTTTTTCTGTGATCACAAGAGTCATATATAAGAAAATTGTCAAGGCAAATGAAAGAGCACCCCCCCCCTCCTTTTTTTTAAAGCACGAGACAAGATATGCTTCCAAAATACAGCCTCTAAGCTCGAAGAGCACCAACTGAATTTCACTGGTACCATTGTGTGTTTAATGGCGTGACTTTGAGTCGATGGTGGCTTAAATTCCATAAAACGCAGCATTTGAGCTTCTTCACAGTGTCACCGGGAGGTCGCTGCTGATCTTTTGCTGAGTTCAGACCCTGCTTCTCAGCTCACGTAGAATTTTGTGGACGTCTGTGCTACGTGTCACCTGTCCATCTCCGCCAGTCAGTTTCAGGCAAGGATTGGCTCGGGTTCTTGTCACAGCAAAATGATCTCTCGGTTTTCTCTTGTATAAAATTGTGCGTAAGTTAAATGAACGGGCAGCCTCTGACAGCAGCGTGATCCTGTATTTAGAGACAGATTTAGCCCCTAATTGCCGGTTGTCGGTGCTTTGTTTGACTTTTAGGTTCAGGGAGGCCAGCGGTTGCTGTGTTGTGGAATTCAGTGTGGAAACAGGAGCTTGCTTCTGTGTTGCTTTCAGGCTCTAGAATCCATGAATCAGTGAGTGTCTGGAGGATGCAAAGGAACTTGGTAAAGACAGAACTGTTACCATGTGTAACCGCTCCATTTCACAAAGGAAGACCTTCTCCACCCAAGGCAAACAGTAGCAAATGCAGAGAGAAGCTGGGAGGCGGGGTGGATGGGGTTCTCCTTGTGAGCTGCTTCTCAGAGACCGGAAGTAAGCCAAGCAGGTGGCGCCTGGCTGTCATCCCCGCAGCTCAGGAGGCTGGGGCAGGAGGTTCGAGAGTTCAAAGCCAGCCTCAGCAATTTAGTGAGGCCCTAAGCAACTCAGGGAGACCCTGTCTTTAAATGAAATATTTAAAAAGGGCTGGGGATGTGGCTCAGTGGTCAACCACCCTTGGGTTCAATCCCTGGTATCAGGGGAGGGGGGATAGATATTCAGTCTGTGATTGGTCCAGAGGTCAAGACAGACACTGTGCATGCACCCACAGGGTATGAGGGGCCCCAACTCACATGACAAGGTTTTCTGGGGACACACGGAAGACTCTCAGGCAGGTTTTAAATGGCTCAAGTGAGTGGGGAGGGCAGCTGTCTGGGGCGCTGTAGTGGGCGGTGGGCAGAGTTGTGATTCCAACTTCCCCCCAGCTCCAAAGGATGCAGCACCTGCCTTTTTATTATCATCTGGCCAAGATACAGGACAAAAGAGGAGTGGGGAGGGTGGGGTTGAAAGCTGTCCACAGTCACACATCAGGAAATGGAGGCAGAGTCTTCTCACGCTGATGAACATCCAACTTTGAATTTGTGGGTTTGGCTAAAAAGCTGCATCATTACTAGCTGTCTAGTGAACTCGTCTGTTTATTGAGCATCTAGTATGAACCAGGTACTACCCTTGGCACTGAGGATATGGTGATAAACAACGCAGCTGCAAAATTCTTGCCCTAGTGAAGGTTATATTCCCTGGGGTGGAGGCAGATTCAAAACAAAAAAGTAAACTATACACAATAGGGTAACAGCTGTTGGGGGGCTCGGACAGAAAGCAGAAAGTGAGCAGGGTGACTGCCAAGGACACCAGCCACTGGGGGGTGTCAGTGCAATTTTAAAGAGGTGGCCAGTGAAAGCCTTGGTGAGAAGAAATGTTTCAGGAGAGACGTGAAGGAGGTGGGAGACCAAGCCAGGCAGACACCTGGAGGAGGAATGTTCCAAGTAGCAAGTGCAAAGGCCCTGAGCAAGTACGATTTTTACGAAGAAAATAATTTACTTTTCATTGAATAGAATGTTATGTGATGACACAGAATACAGTTTGTGCTACAAAACATTGTTTTTTTTTTTGCTTCCCAACACCTGGACTCCTCCTCCAGGAAGCAATAGATTTTACCATTTTAACGAAGAAGCTCATCTCTAGTGACTCACTCCACCTTCCTCATGGTGAGGATTCTTGGAGCAGAGACAGGGAGGCCCCTCTCTGCCGCTGGACTTCCGCGAGCCCTCTCATGGGCTTCCAATGTCCTTCTGAGGTGCAGCAAATTCAGCCCCTCTGTGAACTAGGCTACGGCGGGGTGTGGCAGACCCTAGTGCTGTTCTCTCATCTCTGCGAACCCCACCGGGGAAACTCCCCACTTCTGGACGCCTGCATGATCTTATTTATCCTCCTGGTGGCTCTGCAAATTAGGTGCTGCTATTGTAATTTCCATTTGCAGACGAGGAAACCCAGGCTGGAGAGCAGCCGAGCTGGG